TTGGCAAGAAACGTTTGTACACACATTAATGGCCAATGAGGAGGATTTTATTACTAGGATTTATATAATCTTGTGCTCCTTGAAGTTGACATTTGTTGTTTTGGGTGAAATGTTTTCACGACTATGGATTTACACAGTCATTAAGTCTACCCAGGATGGATTGCTATAACTTATAATGATCGCAAAAAAAAACAACTTAAAATTGTATAGAGAGTTCTAGAAAATCATATATAATCATACATCGATAAATATAAATTGTAAAGGCATTCAACGTCAAGAAGAAAGGTACATTTAGCACATTTTAGTGGTATACTTGTTGACGTCTTATTATCATTCTGTCATAGATTTTAACTTTGTTGCGTAATTTGATTTCCTGTGCTGCTTAAACTTATCAAACTGCTTCAGAACATTACAATATGTGCTACCATTTAATCAGGTCCAGAAAAACCCTTCATAAGGAGTGTGAATTGTTACAGTTCTTAGATCCCAACATGGTCTTTTCACTGATTTGAGCTCATTGAGAGTACCCCTCTGCAGGCCTTTGGGACTATGGCATGGTTCACTCGCTGCTGATGAGGGGGTGCTCTGGTTGGCTGTGGGGCATCTGGTTCCACCACCCGCCAGCGGTGCATAATTAAGCCCAATTTCCCTGACGGTACAGCTGACATGCGCCAGTCACTGCTGGGCTCGGTGCCCTGGGCTAGACTAATCCCCGGTGTGGTCACACTGCTAATAGCTGCAGGGTCAAATCTGTTTATATGACACCCGGTTCACACTCACCTGGGTTCTTATTGGCATCATCCTAAGACTGCAATTTGCCTCGCCTGTTCCCCAAGCCCAATAAATAAATATGTAATCGTATCTCATGACTTTTTGCTCCACCGGAAATATTGTAGGACATTTGGGAAATAGAAACATTTTTAAATACCTGCTGTTGGCAGTCAACCTTTTGACGCATGATACAAATTGTGCACTAAGTATTTGCTCTGAAACGTGTTACTCTGGTTAGTCATAATATTTAGCAAAGATAAGCTATCAATCATCCATCCATCCATCCATCCATCTTCTCCCGCTTATCCGTGGTCGGGTCGCGGGGGTAGCAGTTCCAGCAGAGAGCCCCAAACTTTCTTTTCCCTGGCGACATCAACCAGCTCTGACTGGGGGATCCCAAGGCGCTCCCAGGCCAGCAAAGAGATATAATCCCTCCACCTGGTCCTAGGTCTACCCCTTGGTCTCTTCCCAGCTGGACGTGCCTGGAACACCTCCCTAGGGAGGCGCCCAGGTGGCATCCTAACTAGGTGCCCGAACCACCTCAACTGGCTCCTTTCGACGCGAAGGAGGAGCGGCTCAACTCCGAGTCCCTCCCTGATGACCGAACTTCTCACCTTATCCCTAAGGGAGACACCAGCCACCCTGCGGAGAAAACCCATCTCGGCCGCTTGTATCCGCTATCAATCATTATTATCATATGATGCATTTCTGCTTTTCTACATGCTTACCGGTCCATTATTAGTGGATGTGAATCAAATGATCAATACAGACTTGATTTTATGAAACTGAGAGATCCCTATTTATTAAGCCAATTGAGTTGATAGTTTATTTACATGGTTTGAGGAATAACAAGCTCAGAACAGATTCTTCTGTTTGCGCATGTAATGACTGAGCTCCATGACATTTGGACTTCAGAGTTCAGAGTAAAACACAGTGGAGAGATTTATGTTCAAGCCCACATATTTTGGAAATGACTGTTTTCAGAATGCCTCCTGTATGTGTGACTAACACCAGCAGACTGAGAACCGCAGTGACGCGTCCTAAAACCCGGATGTAAACTCCTTCCGGTTCCTTTGTGAAAAACGCAATGCAACTTCTGTAGTCCTATTCAGCCACTTGTTAACAACCATCGTTTTTCAGACACGTAAACTCTTCAAAAATCACCACTGCCGATGTATTTAATGTCGTAGAACAAAACGTGATCTGTCTCTTCAATTTGTGTCAAACACAGACCTTATTTGGAGCTATTTTCCAAAATCCTATGGAGAAATTGCATTGCTTTTTATCGAAGGAACCGGACGTGGTAAAAATGCTAACTTACTTCCGGGTTTTAGGACTGCGGTTCTCTATGCAGAGAATACATAAAAGAGGGGACATGTTATTATCCGTCCTCCTCGTTGGTACTGGCCGGGCTTTGTACAACACAGAATTTCACCCCCCCAGAATCTTTTTCAAACTCCAGCTTCATCCCTCTGATATTCCCTCAGGGAAATTAAGGATTAGCTGAGCCTTTCAAACCGGAATTCCTCAGTCAGTTAGCATGAATGTGCCCCCTCCCAAACCAAATCAGCTCTGTTTTGCCCGTTGCTCCGCTATGGGCCTAAGCCCTGTCCCTCAGTTAGGTTGGTTGTGAGCCGTAGTAAGAGGATGAAGGATTGTGGAGCACCACTCTGACTCATGCCCTTGGGTGCCATGCTGCTAAAATGCTCAGAGGACATTGCACTTAAAACTGCTCCTACAGGCAGCGGTGCTTATAGCAAGTTCATTCATGACGGTGAATAATTGCAATGAGCAGACATCTTTATTCCCTCTGCATGCAGATGATTGTGATTGCGTTAATTAACATCCATGTCCCAGATTAGAGCTGTGATATTAGAAACCAGAGTGACATCATGCTGTGGTTTGTGATGCATTACACCCCTGTAGTGTTTATATGTTCATGCGACTGATGTGACACTATGTTTGTGTCTGTGAGTGGCATTTTTAGAACTTCTGGCAGTGACGCATCAGAATCATGAAAAGCATCATACATTTGAACCTTTATTGTAGATTTTCTTTTTAAATTGCTGACCTTGAATGTCAGATATAATCTTGCAACATGTCACATGATCCATCTGTCTGAAGGGAATTTTATCTTGTACAGATACTTTAGTAAGTAGAAGACATAATACAAGATAGGTTGACATTTGTACTGCAATAAAGCACAAAGTAAATGACCTAATTCTGACACGACATGTTCCCTCACCCATGGCGTGATTTCTTGCATTTCTAGTCGTTACTGCCCGAATTTCTTTAATTCTTCATTCATAGTGGCCGCTCTGTTCATGTTTATGTTAATTTGTTTATAGGCTTTTTTGCTGTAAGCCGTTACATAACTCTTTATCTAGGACAGCAACTAGAGGTCTGTTTCTGTCTGAGTTTTTCCTTTTGATGTTTTCAGCGTCCATTGCATACCAAGGCAGTCCGGCAGTACTTATAACTACAAATGTAGTCACTGGCTCGGCAAGAATGGAGAGGAAGTGTGTTTGTGTCATGCCTTAATAGCTGACATAATCGCAACTCACACATTTCCCCCCTCACTGACAGAAATATATCAATTCCCAGCATTTCCTCCCTCCACATTTCCCACTCTTGTATTTCCTCCTAGCACGTCTTGCTTTTGATATCCCATGTCTTCACGGCTGCCGGACTTTTTGAGATGAGACCCAGAAGGCCTGCTGAACGAAATAAACGGCTTAGGTTGTGACTAGTAGAGAGATGCATCCCTGTGTGTCTGTGCTCCGTCAGCGTCATTGTTCTGCAGGCTATGGAGTCCTCCAAGACACTTATTTAATGAGACGGCTCTGACTGTGTAATTGCAGGCTGCTCTGAGAGCTATTATGGGAGATGTATTTTAGGGGGGCAAAACAGCCATTACTGCGACAAAAACGAGCCGAATGTGTGTGAAACACATTCACACAGTAGCACTAAAGCTGACATGAGGAGGCTGAGCATCCTGCTGCCACACCTTTTGACACATGGATCCATTTATAGTGTTCATGTGAGTCTGTTTAACTCCTGGATCTCCTGGAGTTTTGTTTTCACTCTGAAAGGATTTGCAAATCACCCGCACTGCTGTTCTTTTTCCTCCTAGACTTCCCTCCAAAGGCTTTAATCATAGAAATAACTTAAACATCCAAGTCGTCACTCATAATTTATGAAGATATCCAAATTTTAAATCAATATTTTGCATTGGATTTGACGCAGCGTTCTATAATATATCCAATGCAATGTAAATCGTAGAATAAGACTTTTTTCATGTTCCCCCCCATTCATGATTGATTCTCTGTGAGGCCCACTGGTTTTGCTCCCATTCGCTTTCTGTTTGGTGAATATTAATAATATAATACATATTGGAAGGGATGAAACCCTCTTTAATGGTCACACAGAGCACACAGTGACATTTGTTCTCTGCTTTTAACCCATCCTAGTACCAGGAGTCTCGTATATTATATATATATAGTCAGATATTTGGTTCACTCGTGCTGGAATTTCCGTGTCCCATGATTTATTTAGGATGTGTTGAGGTCCTTTAGAGAGCCTCACATCACAGTCCTGGCACTCTGTCTCATCCTTTAGCCTCTTAAATGACTCCCTCCATCTCCCTCTACCGCCACATCCATCATCATTCTCCTTCCTCCTCACCACAGCGCTCTTTGCAAATTAAAAGACACAAACCAATGTGATCCGACAGCTGAAAGAGACTGCTGGGCTAATGCTAGCCTATTTGACACTTTACCCCTTTAACGCTTGATGTCTCCGTCCAGATGGTTTGTTTGTTGTTGCTTCTACTGCATAGCAAAAGCCTATTCTGCTTTGCCAAGAATAACAAGGCGAGGTGGCATGCAGTTACTGTGAAAGAGACACAATTAGCTCATCTTGGCTGCTGCTTGGCACTGATAGCTTCTCTTTGACTTCCTGGACTCCTGACGCTGCAGCTGGCTTCTGCTTCTTCATTCCTGTCCTCTCACATGTTTTTATAGAAAGAAAGAGAGAGGGAGAGGGCATGAATGTACGCCCCCACCTGTGTGTTTGGGCTGCTGTGAGAGGACAGGGGCCCTGAGATAGCAATCACAACAGAATCAGTCACACCGACAGTAAGACTTTACAGAGGGATAGGCCAGTGTTTGTTTGCCATGCGAGTGTGTGTTGTGTTTTGAAAGCCTAACAATCCTTTCTATTCTTAACAGTATCTGGAGAGGCCCCAATGTGAATTGTGTGGACAGCACTGGATACTCCCCTCTCCACCACGCCGCCCTCAACGGACACAGGTATATCAGTGATGTATAACTCTGGGAATGAACAGAAACTAGGGCTGGGCAATATATAAATATGATATCAATATCCTGTCATAAGACTAGATATTGTCCTTGATTTATGGATATTTTAAGTGTTGTCTTTTCCAGTTTTTTTTTTATTGGAAAGTGATGTCATGTTCTGAATTTAACAGACTTATAGCTTTTATAGTATTAACTTTACACACTTAGTCAATAAATCCAAATAACTGCTGGTTAAATATCCAAATGTTCATTGTGTCAATATTTTTAGTCCAAGCATCGATAGTCAACTCTACAACATCGTCACAATATCTATCAAGGATTTGGTAAAAAATATTGCCATATTTGATTTTTCTTCATAATGCCCACTGCTAGTTTCCCCTCCTCTCTTTATGCCCTGCATTCTATAGTATTTGAGACAACTGTCCCACTGGGAAAACTTAAAGCTATTGATTTGCTGTTTGCTAAGGCAGTGTGTATTCATTAGTGTGGTTATAAACCCTTTGCCCTGTCCCTTCATTCGTCTGCAGCGAGGTGGTGGAGACGCTGCTACGAAACGAGGCCTTGACCAACATCGCCGACAATAAGGGCTGCTACCCCCTCCACCTGGCTGCGTGGAAGGGGGATGAACATATCGTCAAACTGCTCATCCACCAAGGACCTTCACATCCAAAACTCAATGAGCAGGTCTGCCGCTGCTTTGCTCTGCTGTGTTTGTTTGTTTCTCTGTGTTCGTGTGTCTTGGTCTCTCGGTTTTACTCTTACGGTTCCACTTTTAGTTTGTGCTGATAATATCATGAGTTGTGAAATGATGTCAGTACAACGTCCATTTGCTCTTCCTTGTTTCAAGATGTTTTAGATCCTGGTTAATAATCCCAGAACACTAATTATAATTACAGTCAATGATTTAGTCAACCGCTATAGGAAGTTACTAATTCATCAACATTGTAGGGAGATCATTCTTGCTAAAGAAATGCCACATGATAGAGATATTTCCAAATGTAATAATAGTTCAGCATGGCATGGTCTGTACTGTATTTAAACAAAATGAATGTTGAAAAGTCTGCGACCAGAGTGCATTAACTTGAATGCATCTTGAGTCTGACTTCTACTGTGATGCTGTGAAACTGTGCTTTGATGCCATGCCAGTGTGAGAAGTGCTTGTTTGCCCCTAACCATTTTAACTGTTTTAACTCATATTCATATTTTGTTTGGTTGCTTACTGCACAAACACCTCTGGCCTTTTTAGGATAAGGAGAAATGACACTCAATGAGCTCCACAAATGTTATCTGGATAATTCTATCAAACGAGACACGCTCAAATGATCACATAAGCTAGATTCAAAAATGATATGTGTCTTATTTTGTGTCATCTCTCCCTGCCTGTTCATGACATCTGATTGTTTATTAACTTCACCCTGATTTTTGTTGTCTCTTTATTTAGTTTGACTCATTTGTGATCATTCATTTGTTCATTGCTTGTCTGAACCAAAACCATTGGCCTATCTTCTCTTCCTCCCTCCCAGAGCTCTGTAGACCATAAAGAGTTCAAACGCTGTGGGCCCTTTGACCCATATATTAATGCCAAGGTGTGTACAGAGTGCTGCGTGAAAACATTTCCTTTTTGAAGTGCTTCTTTGCTTTACTGCTGTGTTGTCTCGCTGTGCTTGGGTTTGGGTTGCTGCTGCTTCTTTCTTGGCCATTCTGCCGCAGATATATGGGGAAGCTTTTTATTTCATTCTCCATTGGTAGATCCCTGTCCTCTGGCTTTCTACTCCGCTTTATTGTAATGTAACATATCTGATATGCCCTTCACTACATCATCTATTTTCTTCATGTTACAATACTGTTGTACCAACCTTTTAATCAGGGTCAGGAATTAGGCTTTAGAAAAATAAATGCCCTTTAAAGTTCAGCAGTTGTCTTTGCTCTGAGGGGCAGAGGACAGACAGGGGATGATGTGTGAGGCGAGATGTCCTTTATGCTTGTTGTGTTAAAAATTGAGCAAAGCACATTGTATAATATGCAGCTGAAGTATTACAGTTGTTGGCACCACACAGCCAACAGAAGGAGAACATATTGACTAATAGCAGACCACACTGTCAATTAAAGCTAGACTGATCATTATGGTATTAAAAAGATAAACAGTGGAAAGTTGACAAAAGGAGAAGCTTACAGGAAGTTCTCGGAAGTATTGACTGCGATATAATAATTGATTGTGCATTGCTGCAAATTGAGTGCACGATAGATTTGTGAAGTGCTGCAATTTATAGATTTTTTTCTCAACTTCTAGCTACAAAACCCATTTCTAATATTAAACATTAGAAACACAATGTTAAACACATTACACAAAGTTATAACTAACAAAATGTTTATTTTTATTTTCAGCCATGTTAGCAGCATGGCTCAAGAGAGAGAAAACACAAATTATGTTATGGAAACATTCATGGTTTGCATACTGAATCATACTGACCTTTCATTTAGCACCATGAGGTTGATATTTGAAGTTTTGAAAGAAATATCTTTATACCCATTGGATGTATTATCATGATGTTTGGTACACACGCCCTATAATGCAACATCATCAAGTCTAATACAAATAAATAGTAAAATACTAATATTTCCAACAGGATGGGGGGGCAGCCTTAACCGTTGCTGGTGTTAAGTTAGCTAGTTAGCATGCTAACCTGCTTTACTAGTAAGACCGTGAACACGGTAACCCTTGCCAAATGTTAGCATGTTAGCATGTAGCATGCTGATGTTAGCATCCTGTTAAAAGCACCGTTGATCATATCAGAGCTGCTAGCATGGCTATAGACCAAAACAAATAATAACGTTAGCTCTATTGTACCAATGCAGATATTCTCAAGTTTAGGAGTAAAATGAAACTTAGATACCCCTAGGAAGTCAGATTGAGGGAACAAACTTCTACAAAGAAGGAAACGTATGAAGCTACTTGCCGTCTATGGAAAATAGAGTGTAGTCCCCCTGGGAACAGACTCAGCTTTTACTGTTTATCTTTTATTTATCTATCTTTTCTGGAGTGCATACCGAGTTCAGTTGCTTTATATTTCACATGCTCATTGCATTCAGCATTAAAGGAAAGCCCCAATCAAAGTGCGTCTACATGAGAAGAATATCTGTTCAGCAGACACTGCAGAGCTTCACAGCTGGAGCAGTGAGTGGTGCTAACATGTTGGTCACTTCATGTTTTCCTTTCAGCTGGCAGAGCTGGAAACCCACCCCGGCCCGTAGATAAAGCTGAACACTATTTTTGAACATTGTCGCATTTCCTCTGGACTAATCTTCTTAGCGCTTGGATTGGAAAGCTGGCTTTCTTTAATGCAGCTATATTTTGGAGTAGGAATTTCCCTGCAATGGTTGTCATACTGTCTTTTACATTTTAGTAAATGTTATGAATTCAACATTGAGTCTTGTTATGGTTTGCTGAGATTATAGATGATGTCTTAATGTAAACATTTCAGGATAGTTTGGGGAGCACTACATGGTCACAAGCCTGAATGATTGAAGCCTTGTTATGAATAAATCAGAAAGATGGATGCAGTGTGGATGCTCTGGTTGTGGTCATGGTTGATCATGTGACTTGGTGGGCGGGGTGCATCCTGCCTCCCCTCTCCTCACACTCCAGTACCAGAGAGCCATGTCAGGAAGAGGAAGATGAGGAGGTTTTCAGTGTACCAGTCTCTTTGCATTAGCATCAAAGAAAGATTTCCACTCCATGCTTGTCTGTGTGTGAGTGTGTAAATGGGTGTCTTTGCTCCTCCCTCTCTTCTCCCCACCTCCCCGGTTTGTGCTTGCGTTGCTGAGGAGAAAAATAGGTGGGACGTTGTCATAGTAACAGTGTCACGGTACAGTGGTGGTGAGTGGCCCAGTGGAGAGATGTGGTGTTTGTGCAGAGTGAGCCTAGCGCTGTGTGATGAGGCTGAAAGTGGGTCTGGGAGTCATGGATAGGTATATATATCTTCAGAGACACCGGAGGAATCAGAGTGGACTTATTATTCCAATTCTCCGTCATCCTGGTCCAGGAAGACAGCCAGACCAATGTTTATTCATTATGTCTCTGTGCTCTCTCCTACTAATAGTTTTGGGGGCTGGTTGGCCGCTTTAATCTTTCAAACGCCTCGGTAGAGGAGAAGTATCCACTCAGACTGCAGGCCTGACCTGGACTGACCCCACCATCTGAACACTGGGTTTATGCAGGTTCAGTTCATACCAAGTTGTAGAAACTGAACATTTAATGATTGGTTCTGTAACTGATTAGTCAGTTACAAAAAGGAAAACTATTCCTGTCGAGATGAACAAAAAAACCGAAATAAAGCAGCACATTATCACATTTGAAGGATTTGAAAAATGACCAAAATAATCATTACATTATCAAAATAGTAGATGATAAATGTGTAGTTTTCTAGATCCAACTCCAATAACATGACAATAAAACATAGTCCGTAGATTACTCCACAATAAATAATAATCATCAGTTGCAGCTCTAGTTAACTCCCTCTCATGCCATATTGTATTTTTTTCATGAGGAATAATCTCATTTAAGGAATGATGGGTGTATGATGATCTGATCATTATCATAATCTGTTATCTGGGCGGTTGGACTCGAGATTTAACATTTGAAATGGTTGAAACTCATGTAATATGAAACTAAATTGTATAGGAACTCAGGCTTCTGTATAGCCTAATGCACATCTTGATTGACCTCTTTTATGTTAATGAACATACAGTCTGTACTACTCCTTAATAAGATATAGCCCCTAGTCTGCCCGGACTCACATCACGCGACCTCTCACCAAGGCTTCATTTTCATATATAGGTCACATGTCTAATGCAATATATGTTTAGATCACTTCCTCTGACCCAGGCTCAGATGTCAGGGGGCTTTGCCCTTAAAGTGAACTTCACCATGTGCTCTAAGTAACCCTGGATACATTCGAATAAAATAGTTTAATCTGAATAAACTATGTATATACTGCATATATGGTATGCTCATATTGAGACAGGCATTGGATGGTATGTGCTTCTGTCAGGCTCTCAGAGGGCTGAAGTTGGAAAAGTTTCTGATGGCAGCAGCAGAAGTAATTTCTTTAGACTTGGTCACCTCATTATCAGTAGTGCAGTAGAGTTTCCCTCCTTCCTCTGGGAGCATCGCTCGCAGTCTGCTAGCGCGCTCATTTATCCCCTCTGTCTGTCACTTCAGTGTCCAGCTCTTCCCTCAACAACACCATCACCCCCCCCCCCCCCCCCCCCCCCCCCCCCCCTCCCTTTACCTTCTGCTCCCTGCTCGTCCTCCAAGACTCCTTCTTGTCTCTGTCGTGCCAGGAAATGGCTGGAGCCCATTTCAGGGTGTGTCTTATTTGGCAGTTGGGGCCATTTGTTACTGGAGGAGGAGAGTTTCAGGAGCAGAGATGCTATCTAAGACCCTAAAGGCTTTTTGGTTATTTGTGTTTGGAAAGTCCCATTTAATCAAGGGGAATATAAGGAGGTAAACTAATATTTCCTGTAAAAAAGAGAAAAAGTCCACTGTACAGAGAATTACAATCTGTGGCAGGAAGCCAGTGAGACATTCATCTCATTAAAGGACTGCAAGGTCTGTTAACTCAGGAATGCGTGACAGCTTCTAAATAAAAATCCACCATTAGAGTCAGCCTTTATATGATTGTTGCTGTGGATTTAATGAAAAGAACACTTTAGGAATTCACGAGTATTTACTGGGCTTTTAAAGCAATGAAAGAGTACTTGGGCTGCAACTAAAAACCATCTCATTATTGATTATTCTGTCTTTTTTTGCTTTAAATCTAATTTGATGTCCTTCAGTTTCCTTTTTTGTCCTCCAGGCAAATATATTTAGTTTAAATAAAATTGGCAGGCTGAACCAGCTAATGTTTACAATGTCTGCTTATTAATCAACTTAAATAAATCACATTTTATAGCTGTAGCTTAATTTGTCTGTCAGTTGACAATCATTTGAATAATTAAGAAAAACATTATAATTAGAAAATATAATAAAAGATGTTAACTGTAACTACTTTACCCCGCCCTATTTAGCATTAGCAGGCAGTATACAAACATTAAATGAAGTGTATATTGTAACAGATACATGGCATTATTAATGGTTGCATGCATCAGGATGCCAGATCTGTCAGTGGACATGGGCATGCGGCGAGGATGGGCAGCCCGTTGGCACACTAGCTGCAACAGCTGCTCAGCCCACTCCTCCACCACCTCCTCCCACCACCACTACTACTACACCACCAGGGGCCAGGCTGACGTAACCGCTGCCAGCCCGCACCTCACGTGACGGAGGTCGCTAGTCAAACCGTGTTACTGTCTCTCAGCCCCAGGTTGTGAGAATCACAACATCTTCTGTTCTCCCTGTCACTGTGGCTCTTTCCCCGCTCGCTGTATTCTGCAGCATGAACACAATGCAGTTTAATATCCAGATGTTCCTGGTTAGAGCAGGGTTTACCAATCAGCAGTGCCGATCTTAATCTCTTCTTGTTTGACATGTACTGAGGTCTAAATCAGGATGATGCTGTCTGTAGCGCCACGGCAAAGAGCAGACAGGATTTTCATAAAAACACGTTCTGTCCAGGAAGTCTTGGCTGTGCTGTATGAATTCTAATCTCTTTCCCAGCAAGACTGCAAGTCATTGGTGCCATTTTGTGTAATAGCCTTCAGAGCTCTGTCTTGTTAGTACATGATTGTGTGACTGCTCACACCGCCTGTAGAGGAGATCAGGCTGATTCAGTTTGTCTATACAGAGTCAGATTATGCTGTAACACAAGTCTTCTTATACAACCAATGTAAAAGTTGCTACGCTAAATAGAATTTAGTGTAGCAATGTTTTGAAATTAGATTTATATTTGCAGCAGGGCTATGCTAAAATCAGCTTTTAAACCAAGCTACCAATGTTTAGTTCCTCTCATTGTGTTTTAGTAACCGTTTTCTATGTGGACATCATGCATCAAGTATGCAACCTATTTAGAGAGGATTTTAGGTTTTTCTTTTTAAAGCTGTATAAAAGCAAAAGCATGTTTTTCAATACAATTATCGTAACTGTTGAGAAATCTTGCAACTGCAAATGCTACACAGAAAGTGTTGCCTAATTAATGATACTGACATCATGACGTGGCAGTTTCAAAGCAGTGACGCATGACGGGACTCTCCTATTAGTCAAAGTCAACTTAATTGTCAATCTTTCAGTTTCTGTGTACAGACATTTAGATAAGACACACTTTGCATTGACTTACATCTAAATACGCTCCTGGTCTTCCCCTTTACAATTGTCTTTTATAACCAGTAGGTGAGCAGATGATGTTTGTCAAAAGAACATGTATTTAATAAAAACATACATCCAAAAATCAAAACTCAAGTGATGGAGGGGGTCCGTGGGTTGTTTTGGAGTTTCTGTAGAAGCCCAGCATCAGAAGACCCGTGTGAATAAACGTAGCTTGCGTCAGAGGCGAGGCAAGGCTCGATGTCTCAGCACTGCTCATTCCTATCAGTGAGTCAAGTGGCTAGTCATCCATGTTTAATACGATCAGATGCTGGCTGACACATAGCCGTGGAGCACTGACCATAACACTGGCAGGGGAAACACTATCTTAACATGATCATATGCACTGAGCTCAAGAAGGCGCCTTGTGTTGCACTCCTGTCATACTGTGTGAAAAAGCTTTTTGTTTAGTTTCAGTGTTGGAGTCAATTGTGTTGGTTGTTGTATGTATATCATTGTATCCTAGATTTACCTAGATTAATGTTGAAGCAGTAGACCTGCATGTTTGAGGAAGTGAATCAGGCTGATGTCATCACAGCGTGTATGTTTGCCTGCTGAAGTCATCACAGCAAATCTCTCTAAAAAGCAAATGCTTGATGGTTCGTCACAGATGAAAGATGACATGATATTTTACTCCGCAGTGAGGCCATTTCTCTATAACAGTGCTTGCATGTGAGTTTGTTTTGAACCACAGAAAAGCAAATGTACAAATGCATCTAATGAAACCACCCAGGCAGTGAAACTGAATTTGCATTGCTTTAGCTCTCAGAGAAAGGCAGCTTTAAACCCTGTTTTTTTTCATTTGTTTTGTTCACTTTAGTTCACCCAAGAGGAGAGTATTTTTTTCTAGCCTTTTGATAAGCAGGTGTCGTTTTGTGTCTCGAAGCTCCACCTCCTCTCTCTGCTCAAGCTGTGACCTGCTTTGCCAGTGCAGTACAATACTCAACCTCTCTAAATCCCACTTTCTCTCTGTAACAATGGAGGAGATACCTGCTGATCCCATCTGGCACCAGGTTTTTCAGAGAGTCTGCTGACACCTGTCTTAAACTGCCCTTGTTGCCCCCTCCTCATGATGTCCTGTCTTCAGTGGCACAGCTGGCACGCTCCTATGGGAGTCGCTCAAACTGGCATCGTGCATGTCCATGTGGGGGCCTCTCGTGCCAGCTGTCAGCCCTTTGTAGGTGGCTCTGTGCGTCTGGAATGACCCACTCTCGGAGCATGTGTTTCCACAATAATACTGCCACTCCCATCCCTGCATAATATGTGAATAGAGCTAAAAGATCTGTAGGGTTGAATAGGCTGTATTTTTAAAGATGGCTGAGCATTTGCAATTGTGTCACACTGAGAGATTCAGAGCAGTGATTGTTGCTGGTTTCCTCTCATGTTATCTTCTACTATAGGAAGGAGGTTTTTCTGTGTTGGACTACGGTTCCCACGTGTCTAGTTACAACCCAGCAGCACAGTCGTAATTATGACTATCTGTGTTGTCATTGTGTGTTAGTTTGAGAGAGTATTCCCACGCCATGCCTCAGTTCAGCTCCTGGATTGCAGGGTTTGCCCCCTGCTGGTTGTTCCTGATAGAGAACATCAGCAGTGCTGGAGGATCGCAGTGTCTATTAGACATTGATCTTGTTGCTGCATGCGACTCATTAGATCCAATAAGCACCACTTACTGAGTTTACACTAATTACTACTTTTAATTGCTGTTTGTCGGCTAGTCTTTTAGCTTGTTGTTCTTCAATAAAGAGTTTGGAGGTGAGATGATTCAGCTTTGTGCATAGATGAACATAATGCGAACCTTTTAACATGAAGGACAACAGTCAATGTCTCGCTCTTTATTGGGTTTTGTATACGAATCTTTACAGAGTTCGCTATTTTCCGCTCAATTCCAGTGAGTCAGTGTGTTATACACAGCATTATTGAGTGAACTATAGTGTCAGGCAATAACCCAGGTCACTTCCTGCATTCCCCATCTCTAGAAACTCAACAGTCACACATTTGCACATGTGAAAATGTTTCCCCTTCATCGTCTTGTTTCTGAAACTTCCATGACTGTCGCTTACTGTGTGCTCTGATATGTGAGCACAAAAAGTGTACCATAACAGTTACAGTCTATCTTGACAGGGATTCTTTTTTACAATACAGTTATACAACACATATGTATTGCCCAAGAGGGTGGAAATGTGTCCTCCGGTCACCAAACACAAATAAACATGGCATAAAAGCAGACGACTAGTGAGTAAAACAAAGCGTCATAATGTAGAAAAAACCCTTCATGTCTGATGCTTAAATATACTCATTCATTTGAATGTGTTACGAATAATGATGACAATTGGGATGAAGGACTTCTTCTTGTCTTTTGACTAAAAATGTTGAGTCAATGGCTGTTGGGGTTTTGCCAGCAATTTTCTTGCCATTGACACACTCCTAACATTTTTAATTGTGCCAGGTCTCACTCTTTGTAACTACACAAAGCCAAAGATGTTCTGACACTTAAGAGGCCCGTGTCTCTGTTAATTCCCCACCTGCCTGGGTGCCTCAGCCCCCCCCCCCCCCCCCCCTGCCCCTGGCTCTCACTGCCATCCCCAACACCTGTCCTCATTAGTCCATGCATGTCTGCCAGTCCCCCCCCACCCACTCTCCACCCTCTCCCCACTCTGCCAGATATTCCCCCAGGCCTCACTGTGTGCTTTATCGTTATCGGTGCTATTTCATGACCTTTTTTAATCTGCTAATGTGGTGGGCTCTGTGCACTGATGGGGTTCACCTCACAACGACTCCGCTGAGTCACCTTTTTTCTTCCTCATTAACAACCATGACAACCCATCTCTCCTGATCTCCTTTATCTATTTGCCACTTTGTTTCTTGTGTGTCCTGTGCTGCTTCTCACCATCGTTCATACGTCCCCAACAGAACAATGACAACGAGACGCCGCTGCACTGTGCCGCTCAGTACGGACACACCCGGGTGGTGCAGATGCTGCTGGAAGAGCTGACGGACCCCACCATGAGGAACAACAAGTTTGAGACCCCACTGGACCTGGCTGCGCTGTACGGCCGTCTGGAGGTGGTGAAGCTGCTGCTCACTGCCCACCCCAACCTGCTCAGCTGTAACACCAAGAAACACACGCCGCTGCACCTGGCCTCCCGTAACGGACACCTGTCTGTGGTGGAGGTGCTGCTGGACGCCGGCATGGACATCAACTATGAGGTGTGTGTTTCTCATCTAGAAGTGTGGGAACTTAAAAGCTTCCGTTTGCAAGTGTGTCTTAATATACTGTCATGGTGGCTAAAATCATGTTGGGTAACTTGCAGCACTTCCTCTCACTACTTCCTACTGAAGCGATGAGATTAAATGTAAAACTCTTAAGCTCTCAGTTTGCACAGGAACCGCTGTGGTATCAAAGCAGCGCCGGCCTTGCTCCCCCTGGTGGGCCCCGTGGCTCTCACTCTGTACCAAACTGTGCCATCCATCTGTCTGGAAATACTTTCCCCTTTGCTCTGCCCTCCTTTTCCTCTGAATCAAGGATGCAGAGTATATTCAATGTCCTTCAGGCCTTCCGTCCTGTAGGTTTCAATTATCATGGCCCTCTGAGCTGGAAAATGATCTGCTTTGATTTCTCAACCACATAATTGCTAGTATAGGAGTGGACTGGGTGGTGGGCTTTAATCTGGTACTTGCCATACACTGTTCAGGGTTCAACACTTGGCTATCAACCAGGCATTAGCCTTAGGTTGCCGAAAACCGTTACTGTCAAGCCCTTGCTGAAGTTTTGCAGTCTGACTCTTCTGAAAATAGCATAATGGAATAAGCATGTGCCTGCATTTTGAGAATGATCATATTTGTGTCACACATTGGTGTTAATCTCAACTCTCTGTTTTCTGCACAGACAGAGAAAGGCAGTGCCCTCCACGAAGCTGCATTGTTTGGGAAGACAGATGTGGTACAAAGACTTCTCAGTGCAGGTCAGATTTCAGCAAGCAACATCTGCTCTTAATAACCACAGCATCTATGAAGTAAATTTAGATTAAAACCCACACATAACTCTTCACTGTTCCTGTTGTCATTCGTCAGGTATCGACGTGAACATCACCGATCAGAAGGGCCTGACAGCGCTGGACACTGTCAAGGACATGCCCTCCCAGAAGAGCAGACAGATAGCTGCTCTCATCCTAGGTAAACACCACATGTAAAAAAAGAAACAGGGAACTGTGAAGGGAAGTGAACTACTTATTTCACTTTTAGCTGCTGTGATACAATGTCTTGTTTGTCTGTTGCAGGTCACATGACTGGAAAACCCCCTGACATTGACCTCCCCCCTCCACCAATCCCTCCGCCTCATGAGAGTCCCTGCCCCCGTAAAAAGAGTAAGAATTACCAGATGTTAGAAAAAGCTGAGTGTTGTTAGCTATGATTTAACACAGACTAGGAAACTGAAATATAGGGTTTACCTTTTTTCTGTTCAGCTAAGAACTTCATGTGTCTGTTAACACATTGCCTTGTGTTCTAGGTGAAATGGACAAGGTGAGTGAGCTGATCTCTGGGCTGGCCCCGGGGCCCGAGGAGGAGAGTCCGTACGAGGCTCTGTTTGAAGCCACTTCCTGTCACTCTCTGGACAGCCTCACCAGCGGCAAGTCTTCTGACCGGGACTCTGGGCGGCCGGACAGTGAAGCTGGCAAGGTCAGCAATTGTTCAGCCAAAACCCACCTTCACACAAGCAAACACACACATGCAGGCCACATGGATAGCTTGTAAAAGAGTTTCATATGAGGTGAAGTGCAGAACTCCCACTAGAGGGTGATAGTGGTCTTCTTTCCACTTGACAGGGCCTCTAACCCCTCCAGCATTACACCTCTTGTGGTACACAATGAAGATGTAATGCATTGCTAAACTTAGTTCTTGCAATATATTAATGAATAATAATTAATTTGATACTATATATTTATTAGGTCTTATCATTTGTATCTTTTGCAGAAAGATCGCTTGGGCCACTCGTTACATCCTTGTCCGGGTCATGAAGAAGAGGTAAGCTTAAAAGTGGGATCTGAGATCATAAAGCCAGTACAAACTTGTTCCCATTTTCAACCACATATTCTAATATGTGCTGTGTTTAGCTGTGTGCATGTGAGAGTCATGGCAGGACAGTTTTTCAAAAGGTTAGTTCCTCTAAGAGGTCGGACATGATGAAGAATTACTGCCATGTCATAGTTGCTGTTGCAAAATTACCATCTGCTGAATATCTGCCACAACCCCTTTCTTCACAGTTATTGCTCAAATCAAGCCACTTATTGATAAATATTCATTTCAGTGCGGTATGTGACAAAAGCAGGGGGCGCATGAAGAAAGTAAAAGTGTAAAATATTTTTAAGAAATCTGAAGTCTGACCTCAACTGTGGCTTCTCATAGACACTGCGCTATTAAAATACCATTAAAGGTGGGGTAGGTAAGTTTGAGAAACCGGCTCGAGATACACTTTTTGTTATATTCCATGGAATGCTCTTAACATCCCGATAAAATGAATATCTTAAGTGCTTTGACAAAAACCTATAAAAAATCTGTCATCTGTGGAAGCCGTGGCGCTGTAAAAAGCACGACCAATCATTTGAGCCGGCCCGGCTAAAGTAACTGGATGGCCTACCTGCCTGTCAGCCTTCCATCTGTGCACAAACTTATCTCGTGCCCTCATTGGTCATGTGCGCGTTCGTGTGTGTTGGAGGAGAGGCTCTGTAAGGAAGTAGCAGATTTCTTCCGGCTGTGTATTTTCAAATTCTAGCGCACTCGAACTGGTCTCTCCAAAATTACCTACCCCACCTTTAAGGCGTTGTATTTTTAAGGCAAAACCTTTTCCATCCCTCTATTTTAGTCCCGAAGGACGTAGTTGGATTATAAAATATAACAATCTGTCCAAGTTGCATTACATTTTCTTTTCACCTTGTCACTTTCTCCTTGCCTCCACTCCCTTGGTGTCTCTTTCTACAGGCCCTGTATACTAACAGCAGTATTGATGAGAGAGGCGAGCCGGTGGAGGAGGATCACACGTATGAGTTGCTGCTGACCGCTCAGACCAAGCACGCATCGCCCTGCCAGGAGTCCCAATCCAATAAAGGTAATTGTGTGTTTAAAGTATAATCCAGCCGGGAAAAATATGTGCACATCCAGTATGCATTCCTTTAAATTAGATTTTTTTCCCCTGGGTACACTACATACCCTCACTACTGCTTTGCATACCAGTGACGCCTCAGAGCTGGTTCCTTTTAACCCAAATACTTCTTTAATCTCCACTGATGCTGTCAACGGACCCTGAATGCATTCCTCTCCTAATCACAAAGGCCACCTGCACACACATGGTCAACCTTTGCCACGACTGTGTTTGCCGTACATGAGCAGCAGACCCTCCTTAGTTGTGCCTGATTAATGGCACTGCATGTAATTGGATTAAATGGGATTAAATTAGGTGGCCATTTTGATTCATGGCTGTTAAATGTAGATGTTTTAAAACCATCCCCTTGGGCCCGCCGGCTTACTCAGCCTCACTAGTCTCTTAAGAAAACGTCACTGAGCTGAAGGGTTGGATTTTAATCGCTGATGTCATCATGCCTCCCCCTATGTGGATAAATGATGGTGTTAGAAAAAAAGGGATTCTTCACTGTCCTGCGTCATCTACCCTTGAGTCGTGGAGAAATGTTAAGCGATTAGTTCCTATCTGTTTTAAAACGGCTTTATCCTGTCAGGATACCCAGCGGTGTTTAAATGGCAAGGAGGAATTCTGTTTGACTGATATGTCGCCATGCATAATACATGGTTTTATTATACATCACTTTTGCTTACCCCTAGCATAATGTCTGTCCTGACGATCAGAAGGAGCAATACACTGTCATATTAACATATTGAGCAATGGGTCAGGACAATCTTTCGTCTGCCCAAACTTTGTCCTAACTCAAATGTTTTCTCCTCAGATGAGAACACCACTACACAGTCTTCCAACAGTGTCCTACCTCAGGTATTTAACATTCTTCCTTTTATACTTCTCATATGTTTCACGCCTTTAATCCTAAAAATCCTCACTCTCGCCTACAGAGCTTTGCACGGTCAGACTCCTGCTTATGTGGCCGACTTAATTCACCCTAATATCAGCCCGCCCACTCAGGTCTCACAGGCAAAATGTACTGTCTGTCCCACGTACCCACCTTAAGACCCGCGGTGATCGAGCGTTCGCAGCTGTGGCTCCTAAATGATGGAATGCTCTGCCTGCTCATCTACGGTCTGCGGAGTCTGTTGACTCTTTTACAACTATTTTAAAGACATTCCTGTTTGGGCAGGCGTTTGGGTAACCGGTGCGCCTGATTTTATTCCATTTAATACTATGTTTTTATTTTGTTTGTTTTAAATTTCATTTGTACGTTTTGTTTTATTATGTCTTAATTATGCTCTGGTGCTTTTATGACTTCTTAACATGTGTTTTGTGGGTTCATTGATCATTGTACGCCTCTTATGTTGATGTCTTATTGTTTTGTCAAGCACTTTGTCTGTGAAAAGCGCTTTATAAATAAACTTCACTTACTTACTTACTTACATCAAAGAGTAATTTTGCGTTTGGAAATACCTTTTGTCTCATCCTTTAATGCCTTCCAGTTGCAAAATCCTTTAGTAAATACTTCTGCAAGTGCAAGTTTTACAAAACACATATGGATGGATTTAACAGTCAGAACCGTATCCCAGCTGCAACTTGAATTAAATATCTGGAGCATGACCACACGACCGCAGCAGGTTATATAATGAAGATGAAGGTCTCCTCACAGTCACAGATTGAGTCATATGTCAGCAGTAGGCAGAAGTCGTCTTAAACTAGCCCTCATAACTGTGCCTGTGCAAACCCGCCTGTTCTATTTATTGTCCTATTATATCTTATCTTATCACCTTTTCCGAATTTATCAGCCAGTTAGCAGTTTTATTATTGCTGCCTCCCACCCACAACCCGCCTGCTGCCCACAGTATCTGCTTGCATCTTTTATTTTAAGCTCCTATTGGATTAGCTGTGCTCCCCAGCTGCCTAATCATAATAAATGATAAGTGTCCTCTCTGCTCTAATGTACAGCCTGGTGAGCCAAGCTACATTATGGCTGAGGTGGCAAACCAGTACTGCCATGACGACAAACAATAGGATATAATTTTATGCTAATCTATTAGAATCAGAAGACTTTTATTAGTCCCACAGAATGGAAATGTTAATTGTTACAGCAAAAGTAAAAAGGCAAAATATTAATTAACAGGCATGCATTAAATATTTGAGAGAGAAATTACACAAATTACAATAAGTAGATTAACAGTATTTAAAAAAGGTAAATAAGTGTAGCATGTAGAAGTAGTATGATGTCAGCCAGATAACAGTATAAAGTATTGCACAGTTATTACAGATTGTGTTACAGTAGTTAAATAGTTGAATAACTAAAAGATAGCAGCCAGTAGAAATAAATTGTAAACCGGTATATACAGTTTATATATAAGCTAGCTGAAAACGTAGCCATGGCTTTTAGCGTATTCCCTGCATATGCTTAAATGATTGTGTTTGAGTGTACAATACATTTTGATTGGCATGTGTAAGTTAACTATTTTTCTGTTTCTGACCCACTTTAGCGTAAACCCTCTGCCCCAAACGACCTCAGAGCCCAGAGCAAGACGAAAGACACCCTGCACCCTCCCGGACGGTCGAGCCCACGGACACCAGGAGGTGAGTTTTGACGTCTCAGATTTTGTGTAACCTTATAATGAACAACAACTGCTGCTGGCAATACTGTGAGGGGAGAGAAAAGATGGACTGGACACTTCAGACTTGGAGAAACACAACCAAGCATGTCAATGAAATGGGAGAGGAGCATTGAGTGTGCAGGGTGAGCTGGCAGGCTTGGATTAGCACTGTGAGGAACGCATGATTGGCATTCTGGAGCAGCAGAGCAGATTTGACTTGCCAGGCTGATTGGCATTCCCTGGCAAGCGGTAAAGACTAATTTCATTGCCAATATGAAACAGAATTCTTGATCAGATTGTGACATTCCTATCTCAACATCCCGCTTAAAGCTGGATATGCCACGTCATCCAGTCAAGCATGGAGTGGAGGTAAGGGGCAATGACTCTGGATTTTGGCAGAAACGCATACATATATCTTTCATTGAATAATTCTGAATGTCTGATAAAGAAGCTATTGGATGAATCATGGTAGGTATGCATATGTGATTGTGCTCTGGACACTTTTTTCATTATTGTTGTTGAATTATTTCTTTACTGTAGTTGTGAGAAAGAGTCAGAAGTAATTTGGTGCAAAATAACTTATAGATGGGCTGCAGCAACATCGGTTTTAAAGATCTAACTTAACAATCTATTAATCATGTAAACTTTGTTGAACTTATTTAAGTAGGCACACATGGAAATTGAAAAAGGCTTTTCATCCGTGAGCACGTGGTTTCCTGATTGTACTGCTTTTAGAAAACTGATGATGATTATTAAAGCTGACAGCACAGCATGTACCAGCATTGATTCTCATGCATCTCTGTTTGGTGTCATTGCACCTTAATGTTGATACACAGCCATTTCTGATTGGTCTAAGAGACTAAATAAATCATTTAAATAGATTTGTATTGTCAATTGCGTGCATATTCATGCATATGTTTTGGCACACGACTCAAGAATAGATGCTTAACAGCTGGTGTTTTGGGCAGTAAGGGAAATATTAAACACTTCTTAAAGCACGGAAAGCCCTTTATTTCCCTTTTCATGGCACATAGTCATGTGTGATACCCGAGTTGTACTCTCTTTTCCCTTTTTTAAAGCCACAAAAACCACACGTCTGTTAATATGGAAGTACCACATTGTTATTATGCACGTCAGCAAGTTAAATGCACCGTTCCCACGTTAGTGTTTTAAATAAACATGGACAGCTGCCTGAGTTTAGCTCTTCTCCCGTGGACGTGGTGTTCATTGTGATTGAGGCGATCGGAGCTCTGGTTTCCCCCCCTGTGAGGACGGTCAGGGACCGGAGCTCAGCACTGTGGCAGGTGGAGGAGATATGCACAGTCAGCGATATCACAGTGTTTATAATCTGTCACAAACACATTGCTGTCCTCAGCAGGAATCCAGTGATTCCCAACAGATTTCCACCTCTGCATCGGGTTTCCAAAGGATATTTCCCACGAGGAGTCATGTCCTATGATTCTCCACAGAAAACAAACATGTGGTTTCCATGGGACACGGTTATGAACAGTGATAGTGAGGAATCAAATCTGTCTTTACTCTTTTCTTCATGCTGGATGTGCAGCTTTTACAGTTTTAAGTTCCCTCTAGTGCTATAAAGCACTTACTGTATGGTTCATCGAAAGCTTTGAAGGTTTTTTCTGAAATGTACAGTTGTTTGGATTGCTGGTGTGAAATTAAATACCACAGATAAATGCAGAAAGGCTGTAGATGAAAAGCACCTGTCTCCCAACAAAACCATGTTCAACTTCTTTCATATCTAACCAGATGTATCTGTCTAAGTCCCTCAGTTTGTGAGTCTTTTTAAACATTAGTTTCACTTGGGCACATTTACATAATTTAACAAGATGGTATGTTCTTTCATATTTCTGTGTACGCTGTTGAATGTTCTGTTCAATTCAATTCAAAACCTTTATTTATCCAGGTAAAATCCCATTGAGATCAATGATCTCTTTTTCAAGGGAGACCTGCAGCAGTAGGTTCCACAAGAAGACATAAAACATAAACAACAGAACAATAAAATGTGATTATGGGTAGTGACTTGTCCTTTATTGACCGGCATTGTCGATATAAGCATTTGTTTACTCACTTTTCTATAAATGTCCAAACATCAATAAGTCAGCTTTTATTTATTTATTGACTTTCTGCAGTATAAGACAGAGGATAAAAATATCTTCTATCTGCAATATTAACAGAGCAGAGTTTTCACAGGCAGAGCACGCGTTGACTTTGGGGCTGTGTAAACGCTGGATTGACAGCCTGCACTGCAGTGTCTGCAAAACAAACCTGACATCATTATTCAGACATGGAGCCTTCTTGGCCAAATGAAATACAAACACCCCCCCGACTCTGTGGTGACCTCACCCATCTATGAGCTGCAATAACATCAGAATCAGTCTGTGTACTTTTCCAACATATTACTGTATGAGCGGCAGGGGTTAACATCAATGTGAGATTGTTGAAAGCAAGTTGATGTGCTCACAGGGCGTTCACACTCCCCAGCTGCCTCAGAGAGGGTGGGTGTCTGGCTGTGGTCCTGACATATGTATGCGTACACTCACTCACCCCTTATATCACACACAAACACCCACATACACACACATTTCCTGGATGTTCAAGTGTTGAGAAACTTGTGAAAAGGGGAGTTTTTTGGGCGTTGCACTGCCCTTGCAAGGATAATAGGGCAGTTTGGCGGAGTCGGCGTGAGTTTGCGTGTCTAACAGTCGAGTTGTACGCTCCATCCCTTCGATATTACTCCTTCGCAGCCAACTCTTTTGATGTTTTCATTCTTTGAACAGCAGGTTGAGTGATAGCAGAGCTGAACCACAAATTGCTAGCAGAACATTTGCTCAAACTCTTCTCTGAAGGACAAACTAAGTGTTGCAACAGGTCAATACTTCTCCTGTGGTGTGAGCGTCCCAGATTCGCTGTCACCAAACACCCTGACCCTGTCACCCTGGCAGAGACAGACCACACACACCTTACAGACACACTCCTTCACCATGTGTCGCAGGGATAATTATCAGGAGTCTGGCTGCGGGAGGATAGGGCGATTCAAATGTCCATTCCCGAGCGACCATTTAAGTCCAGAATTAGAAAACAGAAAACTCAGAGGGCTGCTGGTCACTCACCCGGCAGACAACAACTCGCATCACTGCCGTTCACGGGGAGATGACTACAGAACCACGCAGACTTGGGTTTTTTCTAAAGCCAAAGAGGATGGCAAAAGCCACTGGCATTCTATGGCTGACTTCATAGTGGAAAAGAGGCTTAGGTGGCAGGAATTCCTCAGGGAGAGGGAGGAGGAAAATCCAATTGTTTTTAATTGCTGTGGCTATTAAGGAGTTGTTTTTGTTGAGAAGGCAGCTGATGTAAGTTATTTTTTTCACTTTTTTTACATATTTGAATGTGTGATTGTGGACAGTTATGTGTATTTTTGCATACAAGTGTAGTCAGTAGCTCGTGGGACTTTTCAGTGTCATCTTGGGGAAAATGGAGCAAACAGACGAGGCCCTGTGAGGTAAGGCGAGTCACAATGATGACTAGCTTCAATGACAAAATAAAGGCAGTCAGGCACCAGCAGACGGCTGCAAGCTGTTTGGAATTCTGTTATTTCTCCAGCCAACATACGCCTTCTCCTTGCTCCATCTCTCCTTCTTTTTCTCTCCGTCACTCCTGGTAGGAAACAATTACAGATCTGTTTCTTGGCTTGTGTGGGCGGTTTCTTATTAGCCCTGCTCCGAGGATCTGCCCTTCAGTTAGAAACCTTCTCTCCAGCCCTCACAAACTCTTCTCTTCTCTAACTTTCTTTCCATTCCTCTCTCTCCAGATAACTCCCAGCTCAGCGAGGATCCGGAGGCAGGTGTCCTGGAGCAGTTCACTGGCCTCCTGCACGGATCCTCCCCTGTGTTCGACAGCCGCGAGGAGCCCTTCAGACTTCCAGGTATCGTGCCATCCAACCAGAGCCAGCCAGAATCAAAGAAATCTGCCAAAGTAAAGGGCGAAGTAGCCGCGGCTTCACCTAGCCGTCCCAGTATGGCCGCCATCCTGACAGACTGTGACCCCAAAGCAATTTATGCAACTGTGAATAAGGAGCCCAGAGACTTCGGGGCAGGGTCTTCTGTTAGGATGCGCCCCCCCGGGGACCTGAAGCTGGCACGCAGCCTCTCCAAGTCGGACTCGGACCTGCTCGTGTCGCCCCCTAATGAGGAGGACGGAGGATTGGGAAACCGCAGCGAGTCGGTTTCCAACTGTAGCACTGGCAAAAAGAGACTCGAGAAATCTCCCTCTTTCACCTCAGAATGGGACGAGGTAAGTGTTACCGTTAGTATTTGTACGTATTTAGTTCTGTAAAAATAACTATACTTTGGACAAGGTTAAAGTTTTTAAAGGTGCTTAATAAGTTCAAAAGCAAACAATATCCAGTTATCGAACTGCAAGATATTTCTTCAGCATAAAGAAAAACTATTGGATAAATGAGAGAACTGAAGAACTTGATACCGTGTAGGAACACAGTCAAAGGACTATGCAGATAAGACACAATAATACAACAATTCATGGATACAGCTTGTATAAAAGTGAAAAATGTTTATTTAAAATGTAGACTTGCGACATGAATCCAAATATAATATACATACATTACAGACTATAAATATGTATAAAGTAAAGCGATAAGGGGTAGTAAAGTTACGCTTGCAGCAGAGTGTTTAGAAACAGGGATTTTATATGTAATAATCCTACACTTGTTCAGTTTTGTGTTTGTGTGTATCATGTGTTGTCTCTGTATATTTATACAGTATAAGTTGGGTGAGAATATTTTCTAGGATTCCTCTTGTGTACAGTGTGTCCCTTTTTTTTTTTCTCCTGTTTTGACAAAGCCCCACTTGTAAGGCTTAAGTCAGCTTGTTCTAGTGCTGCAGCCACAAGGCATTCATCCACAACAACACTTTTGATGGAGTGAGAACCTCAGTACCGTCCGTCAACAACTCGGTTGATTGTAGTTAACTTCCACAAACTTCCACTGTGTTCCCATTCTGTCAACTCAAAGCCCACCTGTTGTCTTAAGGGGACACAAACGTTCAGTAAACACAATGACTGATGGAAAAGGTGTTCAAGTAAATAGTGAAGGTGTTTAAATGTCATGTCTCCCAAAAAAATGTGTTTTGTTGCTTACGTTGTTCCACGAAGCATATTGCATCATGGCATAGTGAATATTTGACTTGGCATTCATTTAGTGAACGTTTATTTTCTCATTCATGGTTTGTGTTTGTGATCACAGTGGATGTTTATAACTAAATATACCCCTCCATTCAGCAATGCTTTGTCTGGGATAAAGAGCTGAGTCGAGCCAGAGAGAGAGGAGATCAGAGGAGACTTGAATATGGGGATCAAAAAGACTGAGAGAGCAAGACAATAGGCAGAGATTTGGAAATTGAGATTCAGAGCGAAAATACAAGCTGCAGATCTGTTCTAAACACTCTGCTGCAAGCGTAACTTCACTACCCCTTATCGCTTTACTTTATACATATTTATAGTCTGTAATGTAAGCATATATCATAATGAATTAGCAGTAGGTCATACAAGTTAACACGTTTTCCTTTTTTAGGCTTTTTCCCCATTTTCCTTCAACAATCCTCCCATTGTGAGTCGGATTAATGCTATCCTCCAGGGCTCTCAATTGAGCATTGGCACAAGCTATCCTCTTAGTAATGTTCCCTGACGTTGTTTGTGTTCCGCTCTGTTTCTGCTGCCGACAACATGCCTCTCTCTCTTACAATTATTGCTACGCCGAGGTGCAGCTTAGTCCGAGAGATGTCTTACAAGTTGTGTTTGTGATGCCAGACCATCAGGTGGAAATCATGGGGCTCAGATAGCACCGCTAATGCCTTCTTCTCTCCACCGTGAGGAGATTGGGTTGCTGCACAGTGTTTCTTTACACGCTCCTTTCAGAAGTATCCCGCTGAGATAAGAGCAGCTCGGAGGTCGATTTCTGTGCTGCTCTGGGCAGTGGTTTGTTCGCTGGTTGTCGGGAATTGTTCTCTTCCTTGATCGCTTAAATAACCTCTTCCGTATTACAGCGTTCAGAGCTGGGCTGCTTTGTTGTTCTGCATGGGGAAATTAAACACAATACAAAATATCTCTGCAGTAGTATATCTCTGTAGGGCTTCTTCTGACCTGTGTTTGGTGCACAACAAACCTGAATGATGTATTATAGCTGCAGCGTTTTGCTTCAATCGTTATGACCTAGACTTTATTGTTGGATCTCTTCTCTAATGATCTCATTTACTCATCTCTACTGTGAGAGTGCAGCTTTATTATTTATTTTGGTTACGTGCAGCCATAAAACTGTGCTAGATGTTGTAGCTTTAAGGGTGATAACTGTCATACTAGCCCACTGCAACAAAGCTGTACTTGAGGAGATGGTCTTTGAGGGGCCTTTAGGCATGACAGCAAAATAACCCAATGTCTGTTCTGCCCGGAAACAACACAAACAAACAAACAAGGCCCCTTACAGCAGTTTGTCAAATTTCAAACTTGTTTTCTAGACTGAAGGGAAAGATTAACACTTCAGCAGCATGACTCCTTCCTTCTATGTAACCTTGTCTTTAGGATCTTCAGGGCCACAAGGAGGGTTTCAATCTTAATCTACTTCAGCAATATCATTTCATTTGATTGTATTGCCAGAGCCTGCCAAGGAAACACTCTCAGAAATTGAAAGTAGTATTTGACTAAAGTTGTGGAAATAACTGACCTTCAGACCTTCTCTATGTGCGGTCAGTTTATTTCATACATAATAACCTACCTCCATTATAGTGGCAATGCCCTAGTTTGACTTGAGTGCTGATTTTTGGGATAAAAGACAAACGCAAATGTAGTCATCTCTATGTTTATGACGACTACTAAAGAAACACAACCAATGACGCAACAGCCAGGGATATGCTTTGAAACAGTGTCACTATAAGTCTATTTCCGCTATAAAATGTTCTGCAGTCTGCATTTGCTTGTCTCAAAAGAAGAAAAAAAATCAACATATACTTTTAATTATTGATTTCTCTATTAATCTTTCATTTTGGGATTAATGATGTAGTCAACAGATGTCATACATTAAATAGCTGTGCCAATTCTGCATTTGTGTAGCTGATACGGATATCAATGTCTGACAGTTTGAATAAGCTTTTATTTTTGTGATGGTATTTGTTTCTTTAACATAAACTCATATCCTTCTTGAACAACTCCTTTAGATTTGGTAATAATAATAATTAAGATGAAGATTGTTACTAAAAGGGTACATTTACCGTAATAAAACCAACATGCCAGTGCTCTCTGGTGGACAACCCATGAACAAGTGACACTGTTTCTAAATGATTAGCCAACATATACAGTGATATATTTTATCTATATTCTTTAGTGAGCTATAATGAGCCAATGCAATTATCAATCTATCTCGATCACCATTTCAATCAGATGCTGAGCCAAAACCTCCCCTAAAGATATAGAGAACAGTGTTGACACTTCTTCTGAGATATCATTGTCTCTCTGCAGTGCATTGTGGTCCAGTTGGGAAATAAGGTCAACACAATGATATTTGATTAAGGCGGCCATGACATTGCTTGGTGTTCCAAGATTGCTTCTCTTCCCCCACAGCCAGCCATAGTTTAGTGTAGCTCTTCTGTTCTCTTCTCTGGGAGCTTTCGCATTGAGGAACTGAAGAATATTAGCTGAGCAATACAGGCTGCAGAGGAGACTGTATTGCTGTCCTCCCATGTGGCCGGAGAACAGGCTGCGTTATTGACATCTAACCAAAGAGGAGATCTTATCAGGGAAAATTAATGCCAAAAAGCTTATTTAAAATCCTAAAGTAGGCTGCTGGCAACCAGCATCACAATTCATCCTTAATTAGTAATGCATAGCATGGACTGCATTTTATTTACTCTGCTGGCTTTAAGATGAAATTGTTTGGCTTAATACTAACAATCAAGTTGACCTTGAAATGTACGATTTTTCCTCTGGTTGTCAGCGCAGAATCAAATATATCCCCCCTAGAGAAGCCTGCTCAAACATGAAGTGTGTGTGTGTGTGTGTGTGTGTGTGTGTGTGTGTGTGTGTGTGTGTGTGTGTGTGTGTGTGTGTGTGTGTGTGTGTGTGTGTGTGTGTGTGTGTGTGTGTGTGTGTGTGTGTGTGTGTGTGTGTGTGTGTGTGTGTGTGTGTGTGTGTGTGTGTGTGTGTGTGTGGTGTGTGTGTGTGTGTGTGTGTGTGTGGTGTGTGTGGTGTGTGTGTGTGTGTGTGTGTGTGTGTGTGTGTGTGTGTGTGTGTGTGGTGTGTGTGTGTGTGTGTGTGTGTGTGTGTGTGTGTGTGTGTTGTGTGTGTGTGTGTGTGTGTAGTGTGTGTGTGTGTGTGTGTGTTGTGTGTGTGTGTTGTGTGTGTGTGTGTGTGTTGTGTGTGTGTGTGTGTGTGTGTGTGTGTGAGCCTGTCAGCTAAACCAATACATCTCTCATTCATGCAATGCAGCTAGAATTAATGTATCATGTAGAAACCCAAAGCTGCAATGTGCAAAATATAAGCCGCACTGCCTCAGAAATAATGTATAAAGGAGCGAGTTGCAGCAGTAACACCTTTTCTATTCGCACTGATTGCACAATGCCCAAATAAGATTTAGATTCATTTCAAAGCAATAAGATGTTTATTAGAATCTTTGGTTGGCAGTCTGTTAGTATTTCTTTTGAAAAGGCAACTTCTTTTGTCCAAAGCCTTAGTAAGTGTTAAATAACTCGGAAGTCTGTTTCTTCTCGATTGAATAGTGATTCGGATGCCTTTGAGCTCAGTGCTGAAAGGAAAAGGCGAGCGGCCCATCTTTCTTCTCCTTCCCCTTTCAAAAAATAAACCTGCATTAGCTTGAAATGGAAATATTCACACTGCCGATATAAAGTGCATTTCGAATGAGAGCAGTGTGTGGGGAGAGTAGTTAAAGTTTGATAGGGTGTAACCTAGCCTGCACTCTCTTTAATGATGTAGGGAGTGTCCCCCTGAAAATGAGAACTCTACTTTCTCTCCCTCTCCTTGGCCCATTTGGCTGCTTCTACAGTGTTTTCTTTCCCGTTGCACTATCTGAGATTGGCAGCCATTTTGCCTGTCACAACTCTGCTGTGCTATGTGACACCGTTTGGGGCGAAGGGTCCCAGGACATTACCTTAAAACACAAACCCCTTTTAAAAACCATCCTTCTGCTCTTGTAATCTGGTTTGCTAAATACTCCCGTTCTCACACCCTCCTTCCTCTTCTTTCTATATCTGTGATACTCCCTCCCTTTCTTCACACACACTCTTGGATGCCTCTGGTTTCAAGACAAGGAGATTTGACTTGCATGAGGGTCTTGGCCTATGCATTTGAGGGAGCTCTCTGCGTGTGTGTGTGTGTTGAGCTCTACGTGCGGGGTGTGTGCTGTTGTGTATGCTAATGCCGCTTGGTCTTGGTCCTCGGGATCAGACTGGAGATGACAATCCGGGGGGGGCGCATTGTGTGGGCCAGCTCACTGAGCTCCACAGATGGGAGGAGAGAGAGAGGGAGAGCTGTAGACAGAAGGAGAGGGCCGCCATCCACAGCCTCGCTTCACTTTCAACTTCATTCTCCTGTTCGCACTCCACAGATCCACTATGAAACCAGCTTTTGTGAGTATTGATTCCCCTTCCAGGCTGCAGATCCACTGGAGGATCTTGTCTTCCTGCCATGAGTGAACTGAATGGGGAAATAATTGAAGCATTTCCTTGGATAATATATTTCTTGTTAAGCCTGTTGGATTAGCATGCGCTCATGGCTAAATACGGCACAATAGAACAAGAGATCTCCCTCACGTTGTTCTTTTGAGTGTGTTCTTTGAAATACATTTTTTTTTTTTAAATCAACAGCCAATTCATGCATTATCTCTTTGTTCTGTTTTTGCCATGTTCTTGAACTCATTGTGGATTTGTTCGGAGCTTTTATTTTCCGTCAGGAGACAAGTGGCCTTGCTGTTTGTTTCATGGAAGTTTTGTCGATTTGACCTGCAGAGATCAAACCGAACTTTGGGTGTGTGTCACGGCCTGGGGCAACCAGCAGGGTCCATCTATTCTCTAATCCTCATCAGGAGAACCACAGGGAGCTGAGACATGCAGCCACTACTTGGTGTTTGTCTAGTCATTGGAACGAAAGAGAGGCTGCCCTCTCTGTTCCAACTTCTACAGAGGATTTCAACTTAATAGAAGGTTTTATATATATTTCTACATCCTTTGGGGGTAATTTCGCAAAGTTTTCGAGGTTGTACAGAAGGGAGAAAAGCATGTCCTTGGGCTATTTTAGGAGGATGATGATCATGGGACTGCTGACAGAGCTTTGTCCCACTGTGGCATTGAGGTGTTGGCACCCTCTTTAGACGGTGGTGCGCTTGTGTTCCCCTTGATACACATTCACTAGTCCATAGTTTTCATCCAAGCCTTGTTTTGGTGCCAGCTTGCCAATTTGAGGCCGGTGGTCCGGGCACACTCTCTCTGCAGCAGCCTTTTGTTTCACCCCGAACAAGCTCTGCCAGGCGTCCTTTAGCTCTCCCCGTCTCTGAGATTTAGTTTGGCATTGTTCAAGTTTCTCAAGGCTGAGAAAGAAAGAACACTTTTCTTTAAACACGGTCTTTCCTGCTGTGAGAAGCATGATAAATGGGTCCATGTGTCTTTAATCTCCCGGCCATCTCCCATCACCGCTGGCTCTTCAGCTGTTGGCCTCCGCCCCTCCCCTGACTTCTTCTGACCCTCCTCTTTGTATCTCCCTCCTCATGGCGAGTCCAGCTCACAATGGACGCCTCTCCATTTCAGGTCTCTGTATTGATTCGATCCTGCAGCACAAAAACACATTCCTCTCCCTCTCCTTTATTAATTCTCATGGCATCGAGCTTCTTTGTCCTCGACCATGAAACTCAGGAGCTCTTTCTTGTAGTGGATGTGTTTTACCTTGAGGAAATCATTGTGCCGTGTCCCCCGATAAGGATATATTTACGCAGCTCCAGCAGTATATCACACCTGCCTTCCACAGTAGCTGCTTCTGAATCTCGGCGGAGCAGCCAGTATTCCCTTTTTTGTTAAACTTGTTAGTTAGGCTGATACACCAAGACTAAAAGCAGCCGATTGTTTGAAAGGAAAATCTTGGTCCGTTGTCAGATATGATCTTTATTTCTTTATTCTTATACACTGCAGCGTGAGGCATTTAGAAAGGTATCATGAGGTTGTTTCAGATGCATCAATAGAAGGGAAATGAATATAACAACTTGCTTTTTAAAAGTACATGGTGCGAGCTGAAGAAACAACCTTGGCATTTTGATTGCATGTCAATTTTTTATTGCGCTGTATTCTGCTCGTTGCTGGGAAAGGATGCCACCGACATGAGGATCCTTCTCCCTTCAGTAAAGACCTCGACCACTTTATGAGATGAGATCACTGCCCCCTGTCCTCATTATCACAGGGGCTACAACTGCTTTGTGTGTGTGTGTGATTTTACATATTGGACCCCTGATTAATACCAGTGTACATCAGCAGCTTTCTAATTGTCCTGCTAAGGCCTAATCATTGAGGTTATTATGGGAGCAACAGTCAAGTGCTGCCCCTGCTCAGCAACAAACGACAGACAGACACCATTTGCGACTCACTGATGAACATAGTGGAGCATTTAGCAGCTAAAGAGACAGATATGTTTCTCAGACAATGATATAGACCAAAGTCAGAGCTTAAAGAGGGTGACTATTGGATTTATTTTCATCACATGTCGAGCGACACAACTCCAAATAAACAATGTCGTTAGTCTTTAACTGGAGTATGTGTACATATATCATTTTGGGATCTTCTCATCCGACTTTCTGCAAGAATTCAATCTCCCAAAATGTGTTGGGGGGTGGGGAGAAAAAAAAGAATGAAACGCTGCGTACCTCCTACACCCAATGTCAAATAAGGACACTTTATTATTGGCAATTATTCCTCCAATATTAAAGCCAAGCACCCTGTCGTCCAGCTGTTTATACTGCATATACTTGGTTTTAAGTGAGGGTATGGCGAGGATATTTTCAGTTTGGTTAAGCACAATGAAACCACTGACCCATGAAGAGACACTCTGAAAACAGAACCTTTTTTTTCGCTGACTCATCCTTGTTTGCTCAGTCATTCCTCAGGTAGGAGACGAGCTGCCGACTCATCGTCCACTCTTCTGTTTAATGACTGAAGTAGAGACGTGTGGCGATGATAGATGGAGGTTATTTGACAAGCTTGTGGGACTTATCTACCATCTGGTCATTATGGTGTATTTTAATCAACAGTATGGAGAAGGAACCGGGCAGATGGATAACGTAAATGTTGTGATCCACTTTGTCTCTCACCTCTTACTAGAATTACAGTTTTTTTTCTCTCTGATATGCTTAGGATTAATGTTGAATCTAAAAAGAACAGAAGGCAGTGTAAAACATATGTTCAGCATTGTGTGTGATCTTCAGGACGATGGATTCTTCCATTGATTTCTCAATAATTGTATCATAACAAACACATAGCTCATTCTCTAGATATGTCCAATGTTCCATTTGTGTGTTCAGTTGAATGTTTTCTGTACTCTGTAGGGGATCTTTGTATAAAACAGGCTGATTTCAATCCGTTTTGCCATAGAAAAGCTGGCAGAGTGTAGTAGGTACACGGAAGAAGGGCAAAACAAAACCTTGAGTTCTCTTTTAGCAGAAACCTACGACTTCTTCCACCACCAAACACAGAAGATCTAATTCCGTTGACAGCGTAAGAAATGCATCCTTCATATAAATATCTCGTGGTCCTTTTGGGGGTTTGGCTCTGTCCTCTTCTGGGGCATGCTCTGTAGATGGGATCCTTTCAGGTTTCATGAACCCTTTCGAATGATATCATCTCAGTGATTATTCATTTCTTCTTCTAAGCAAGTCTAAAAGCTCTGATTTAACATTTACTGTCCGGTCTAACAGCAGCACAGAAAGTCAGATGGATGGTTCTTCAAAGCTGGATTTCTCTCTCTGACATTTATTTATCATTTAGATGCTATCTCACTTCTAAGCATCCTTGTACAGATTGATGATGATATCCTAAATGAAGACATTTGACGATAGCACTATTGCCTTTTTATAATGAGATATATTATTTGTCATGGCTTTAAAAGCAGCCAGGACTTTTGCCTCAGATTAAATATTTCCAAAAGCAATGGTAAAGAGTTATATACTCTATTTTATTAAAAGTTTTTCAATGACACAGGTTTGACGACAGCCCTGTCAGTCTCTCTCCTTTTTTCTTTCATTTTTCTGCACTCAATGTCTATGCATACCGTGGTTATAGTTGAAAGGGGGAGCCATGTTTCTGTGCGGTGACAGGTGTAATATTGCATCTCAATTGCCCTCTGCTGCTTCGGTACCCTTATGAACGCATTTCAAGGAAATGTTCTTTTTGTCCTTGACACGTGAATGTCAGGGAACATGCTTGATGGCAACGCAGCCGTAATAGTTTCATGCATTCTGTAGAAATGCATGAAACTATTGCGATAAACCATGGGGATCTGGGTATCTTGAAAGTTAGAGTTATTGCCCTTTCTTCTTAGGCTGTATTATTTTAACCCCTTCTTTACATTGAATTAAGACCCTCAGCCGCCTCAAAATCAACAGGTGTGTAAATGTTATTGAAGCAACCATATGACACAGTCAGAGAACTACTTTCTGAGATCTTTGTAAATAAAAGGAAACCATAAATCACCTGTTTCTTTATTGTTTTCTTAGACTTGACAACTTTTCTCTTAGCTTGATCGCCCTGACAAAACGTTTCCTTTGTGATCAGATTTCTTAGACGTCCTTTGTAAATGGGTTTGTATTTGGATGAAACACTGCAGCCAAGAGCCGATATACATGAGCTTAATGCTGAGGCCACATTTCATAAATGAGATGAAAAGGCAATCGACCACGTTGCTTCAGATACCCTTCAAAATCTTTATTTTTCTCTCACCATAAAAGCACTTTAAATTACTTCTCTCTCACTTAACGTATCGTTAACGCCGTTATTTGCTTTTTGCCGGGAGACTGTTACGTTTGGTGGTTAAGTGTTTACGGCATGGGGCATTTCTCTGGATGTTTTTATGGTGAGAGGTGGAGGCTAGACTACATTTGCTCCTACAGCTTCTTATCTCCCTCTTCTGTTCCTGTCCTCAGATCGAGAAGATCATGACACTGATTGGTGCTGGCATCGATTTTTCCAGGGATCAGCAATATGCTACACCAGGTAGAGTATAATCATCATTGTCCTTTCATGCTGTTAAATGTTAATCAACACCTAGAAATGGTGTCTATGTTGGGATTTCTTTCCCTCCTCATGCTGATTTGTATCTATTTTGACTTTGGCACACTGAGAATAAGTTGCCTGCATTGCCTCAACACATTTAACTACCTTTTTAGTATGTGTCGCACATGTTTTTATTGTCACTGGGTCTTCTTTATCATTGCCATATTAATATAGCACTTTACATGCTTGGATTTGCTTTAATTTGGTCCTCCCGAGTTGTTTGATAGGTGGGCTCATGGGAAATCAAGAGCCTGGGACTAGCAGACGGCGTCCAAGACGAATTGCGATTCAGTTAGCAACAGACAATTAGGTAGATGTGTGTAATGCTGGTAGACAGTTGGTCTGTTTTAATAGAACAGACAAGGAGTGGTATGGACATTAGCAGCCCCTGAGGAAACTAAGAATACTCTTTTGAATAAGGAATAGTGAACACAAAGGACTAGGGATGTAACGATATATCAAATATCAAGGTAAATAAATGTCTCAATACCGTCGTGAGACTGACACTAAGTTGACCTTTATTTAACCAGATGGTCCCATTGAGATCATCAATCTCTTTTTCAAGGGAGACCTGTCCAACATGGCAGCAAGTGGGTTACAACATGAACATCAAACAACAGATAACACAAAAGGACATCGTATTTACAGTGCTACATGTACATACCTAGAGACATTGATAAGTACCAACAGTATATTTATATCTCTGTCAATAAGCCTCACCTTCTTGACAATAACTGTATTGTTTTGGAAGTGGTGGAGAGACAACGCACAGTTTGACCCACTGCTGTCACCCATGGCCAAAGCATATCTCTCTGTCCCAGCAACATCAGTACCAAGCAAGAGAGTTGTTTCCACAGCAGGGGATATTGTAAACGCCCAAACATCCCAGCTTCTACCTGGAAATGTGGACATGCTCATATTCCTAAAAGATAACCTTGATGATGCTGAGTGAGTGAGTTAGAGTTGAGTTACTTGAAAAACTAAAGTGAAACTTGATTTATTCTATTGCAGGGTCTGATTATTATATTGTTGACACTTTAAAATACTACTATCCTACTAAAATGCTGTACAGATCAGATTTATTATTTAATAAAAAAAAGAAAAATCACATTTTTTCCCTTTATTTTTCAATATCGCGATAAATATCGTACCGTGGACTTATTATCGCGATATTATCGTACCGTGAGTTTTTTGTATCGTTACATCCCTACAAAGGACCCTTATTGGATTAATTTGGCTTGTTCTTGTTTCAAAGCAGTGGTCTCTCTCTCTCGTGTGTGATAGAAACCAGGTTGCTTTTAAGTACAGTCTCTAAACCTTACTCTGAAAGTACCAGGAGTATTATAATTTGAAAGACCAAAGTGCCTGAGAGACACTCTATTAAATTGCTCTCTGTAAAATAATGTCTTTGTTTTAAAGGATTGTGTACCTGCTCTCCTGGTATTCTGTAGGCTTTTCAAAAGCCTGTCGTCATATTTGATGGATGTTGCCCTGGGAGCTGCTGCAGTAAACCCAAACAATTGACTCCTTCCCTTCAGCTTTCACATTCATCATTCACCTCCAGGTCACACTTTTCCTCAGTCACATTGTACAGTATATAAGCAATGTAGTGGTTTTACAAGTGTGTTTTCTGCCCTGCACTGGAGTGAGCTGTTTAAATATTAACCAGTAAGCATGTCGGGGGATGAGCTCATTTTGCTTTGTGGACATAAAGAAAACTGAGACCACTGCAGTGAAGTAGTTAGCGCCCCGGCATCTGTGTGGTCTGAACATGTCTGAATCCACTCCTCTGTATATGAGACTTAATCTTAAAGGTCACCTATTATACCTGATTCAGACCAGTGTTTGCCTCCTCTCTGTGTTGATTGGAGTGCAGCGAAGTCTCTAGCTGATTGGGTCTGAGCCTGGCCCTGCAGTCTCTGGTACTTTTTTCCTCTCGACTGATTTACTTCCACATCAGAGGGAAAGAGATGATGGAGGAGGGTGAAAAGAGACAGACTTTTTTTATACAATCACAACTGCACGTAATAAGGAAGGTGGGGGGGGTCTGTAGATGGGAACTGTAGCTTGCACTGACATAGAGCAGCCACCTGCAGTGTTTGAGAGAGAGTATGGTAGGGAGAGAGGGAGGGAGGGAGGGGTGAGGAAGCGTGCAATGAGGGGAGAGAGAGGGAGTAAGGGAGGAAAGAAATATTGCAGGCAGCAGAATTGTGAACAGCAGGACAATAGAAGGACGCCGCCGCGGTGTGTGTGTGTGTGTGTGTGTAGGATGAGGTGTTTCCTTTTCAGCTCAGAGTGAACTACAGATGTTTTTTTAGGAAAGTGGACCTGACCACATCCCACAGACTGTCCCAGACTGAGGAGACAGTTGGAGCACTCTTTCTTTCCGGAGTTCATTCTGGGGCCCGGCTATTTCTTAAGTATGCGTTAAAGTAGCTTGTGGAATCCTTCACTGGATTTTCATTCATTTTTCTTCCTGACACATTTCCAAGCGTCTGCAGCGACCTCAATGGGATCTATGACGTGGGAATCTCCTCTGAAACGGGATTGGTTTTGCACCAAGTTAAATAGATGATGAGATCACTGAAAAGGGAAAAAGAAGATGTATCTGCATTTTACTAGTCATTTGAGTTTAGGTTTAGATCTTTGCTTGTTTGTTATTGTTATTTGTCAGCTTTTTTTGATGTGTTGTCCTAAAGGGAAAGCAAATAAAGGTAATATATAACTCTTTCCTATCAACAGAAAACACATTTACTCATTTATCAAGTTAAAAGTGAATGGTAATTTAAGGGTGTGATAGCTGAAATCCCACCGCAGAACATGTGTTTTTTGCTTCTGAATTGTACCAGTAATATGTAGAGGCAGTAATCTGTCTTCGTTCAGGGTTAGGCTCCTCTGGGCTGCTGACAGCCGTCAGTGTTGCTTTTGGTCCCAATCCATCTCGGCTCATGACAGACTTGTTGTGCGTCCTGCTGCTTTCCCTGTGAGCGCTGTGATGTTCTCAGGTAGATTCCTGTCTGGACTGTTGGTGGTGCTCAGCAGGCTGGGTCTTTCAGTCAGAGTGCCTGTTTACTAATTCATGAGGAGTTTCCAAAGAACTTTCCATGTTGCTAAGACACATCACCCTCTCTGGAGTAAGGTGTGTCTCTCCCTCTGGGTTTCTCTTCATAACAAAACTGGAGCTTCACTAAATCAGCTGCAAGCTTTTACCTTTGGACACAGAATGCTACTTCCTGACCCTGGACATTTTGACTTTTGTCCCAAGTTGGATATGAACGGTTTGTTACGTTTGCAACAGTGAAGTGATGCAGAGTTTTGTTGATGGGGAATGTGTTCTGGGCAGGTCCCCGACTGACTGTCATAGCTAAGATCTCTGTTCACATTAGCTGGTAGTCCACCAGCTCAAACCCATTTATCTCCTCCTTCACCCCTGAGATCAGGGGCACTTTTAGCCATCTTGGGTGACTGTGGTCCAGCCCCCGCTGCCCTGCGGGAGCTGACGCCCTGTCCACAGAGGACACTGTCTCCCCCGCCAGGCTCTTGTTGCGGATGCACTCGGCTCTGCTGGCCGAGAATGATGTGGCAATGCCACGTCTCGTCCTCAGAGTGCCGCTGCTACCGGCTGAAAGGTTTCTCCCTCCTGAAGCGCTTTCCCCTGTCAGCAGGTGCTGCAGGCCGGCTGCTGGAGCAGCCTGTGGGCGACTGGCTGGAGCACGTGGGGCTGCCGCAGTACGAGAGCAAGCTCCTGCTCAATGGCTTCGACGACCTGCACTACATGGTGAGTTCCTCTGTTCTTTTATTAGGTCCAAATTGACCTTAATGCTCTTGACTGTTTAATGTACTTTCTTTCTTTGTCTTTGCTCACTTTCATAGTCTTTTTCCTTGTCTTTCACTGCTTACTCCTACTTAACCCCAGTGTGTTTCTTTGTGTATAATCCAATTGATGCCTCCTTAGCTGTGAGATGATCCCATTAGGTGTGTCTAAAGTTCAATTAGCTGAAATCCTGTAACGACCTCTCCGGTCTTTTTCATGAGTTTTCCTTTTTAAGCAGCTGCTGCAATATATTGATATGGGAACTGTGTATTCTGGGTGGATTCAGTACATCATTTTATATCTCGCCTTACATCACAAACGTTATAAATATCTTAATATTCAGTGCGTGATTCAATGACATAACTTTACCTCTCGGCTCTCCGGCAGAGCCTTGACTGATGTTTGCTAGATGTACAAGTTCATTCAACCAGACAATTTGCAGTTTTATCTTTGCTGTCAAATATTTTGTTTACGGGAGCTTTGATATCATTGTGCCCTGTTGCGTGTTGAATCAGGTTCATGCTTAAGCTCTCAGACAGTCTGTCTCCATCTCAGGGGCCGGCTCTCCGTGGCCCCTGACCGGAGAAGCAGCTGAAGCCCGGCCAGAATGAAGGAGCGTCTCGGTGAGCAATGGGATGCTGTTGCCAATCCGACAGTTGATGGAGCTCACAGTGTGCGACGCCACTATGAATTGGCTCTGTGGCTCGTGTCAGTAATGAGGACTGATGGAGGAGAGAATGAGAGACCCAGCTGGTAGGCTGAGCCAGTGGGCATGTTGGAAATGAGACAAGTGTGTCAAGATGAAAACTCTTTCCTCCTCCATCAGGCCTATCAACACCTTCTCTGTTGCACTGGAAGAGACATTTGTTAGCTGTGTTTCATCCGAATAAATTAGATTAGATGGTATGTGAGCCACTGTAGCTCATTTCTTTAAAGAGACCCTAAAGGTGGAAATCCTATTGTCTCTTCTAAAGAAATGCAGAGCAGCATACCAAATGTAATTGCCCGTACAGAGACAAGTTATATTCCTTATTTTGTATGACCAGTGCTCCTGGAAGCCAGACTCTTGACAAAACCTTAGTCTTTGATCTGGCTATTTCATAACTTAAGTTAGATTTCACTTAAGATGTGTGACCTGTATAACTGGCAATATCATTGTGGACTTTTAAGTCACAATCTCAAACAAAGCCACATTTGTAACCTTCTCACTCCTTAATAGTGTTACCTACCTAAACCTCAAATCATACCCTGTTATATTAGGATCAGTTTGTATCAAATATTGTACTTAACTCTTTTTATGATCCAACAGATGTTTTCTGTGTGCCTGGAAAGATAGAATGTTTTCCAGGGGTGAAATCCATGTTAAAACTCCATATTTCAACGGACTATGAAATGATTAAACCAGGACAACTACCCTTAAAAACCATGCAGCAGTAATTGAAGACAGTACAGAGGAGGGCATAACACGTTATGAAGAAGAGCCATCTTTCGTTCATTAATTACAATAGTGAAGAAGTTCCTTTTAGTTCATCATGAGTAATTGTTCACCCTTCCCATGAATGGTATGTCACAGTTTAAAGGGTCACAGATGGTTATTTGGTCTCCTCTTGTTTGGAGGGATGTTGTCTCCCTGATTACACTGAGGTGTGTTCCATGTTTGTGTTTTTCCAAATGAAGGTCATTGTGATCATTGTTTTTAATTACAGTGCGTTAATTAGACTTGTAAATTAGGACCTGACTCCAGAGAGCATACGTTGTCCTTCTAAGCAGCAATGTTGTACTGGTGTGGATAGAATAACAACGCTAGAAACATGAATACCAAAATAGATGTGAATGTTTTGCGCTCTTGGACTAAACCTAGCGGTGTCAGACTTGTTTCAGAATACATACACTGATACTTGCATTAATAATCTTTAATCTACTTTACATAACCTGCATTCCAACATTGATCTGTCCCTTCATTCCCACCGAGCGTCATCAACACCCATGTTTAATTCTGTGCTGAAGCCTCTCGAGGTTTAATCTTCCTACTGTCTTTTAGTCTTTCACTCTCACACCGTCTTTAGCCGTGAGTATTTCCTGTTTCAAAGCAGAGAGCCGGCTCGCTTTCTATCTTTAAACACGGCTTACAGACCACCTGGCTTCCTAAGATCGCTGGAGGATTTGGAAAAAAGCGGTAGGCTTTAAACGGCTTGTGCTTCTCTCAGTAAATGTGGACCTTTTTAAAGAATCACAAATTGGTGAGTGAGAGTTGCCCTCTGAATCACCTTTATCTCTGCCCATCTTTTCCAAATGTGTTTTAATGTAGTTAAATGCAGTAGAGTGGAGAGAACAGGAGCAGGCATCGTTGGGACAGTTACAAGACAGATTTGTTTTGTCTAATTGTATTAGTAGTTCCAGTCAGAGGCACAGATTTATGGAGCTCAAAACGTCCAATAGTTCATATATAGGATAAAGGAATTGAGAAATACATGTTTGCACTAATAAATTGTGTAAAATATGAAAAAAGAACACACTTATTTGATTATATGTTGTATCTATATGTATTGACCCACCCAACTCGATGAAGTGACAGAATATCTGCAATTATGAGGATGTTTTAAATGATCTCAATGTATTGGTTCATTTATATATACTTGCTTCATACATCCATGTTTTTGTTAACTTCATGTTATTTTTTATTGATTTAAGAAGACTTCCGAGCTAAATTGAAATTGACTCCAGCAGATAATGTACTTGAACTAAATGCATTCTCGTTATTACCACGCTGATCCAGTGTATCGGCTCTAAATAACACTCAAACTCATATGCTTGGTGTGTACAGATATACAAAATTACAGAATCATGGCTGAGTAAAGTCTAATTATTGAGATGACACAGCCTAATATCTCTGATGTTATCACGTTCTTATGATAGACATCAGGAAGTGAAACTTAGGTGCTAGCAGTAATAGTTGTGTTCATCATTACACACACTTTGGAAATCTCTCTCAAATGATATTTAGCTTTCTTCTAATTTGCCCATGGGTATGAGCAGCATAGACATAGTAGCTATGTTTGTAAATGTCATTTTCTTACATGTTTTATGTGAGGGACTGCGGATGGAAAGTAGCTCAAAGCTAAATCCGGCATATTTACGCTTGGTACATTCATTGTGTTAAGTGTTCATTACATTTTATTTTTTTTAAATGTCCGCTGTGCCGTGAGATCACTAATGAAACAGTGTTTACTCTGGCCGTCAGACTGCTGTGATCTCTGTCTGTCCTGCAGGCTCTCTGCAGAAGAGGATCAATAACAGCAGTGATTGTGTTGTGTTCAAGCACCGAAGCAGAGACAAGGCTCTTCTGAAACCAATTAGATGCTTTTTACCGACTCATGGAGCAAATGTACCGATGAAACGAGCCCGTGCTGCACTCCGGCCCTCCATGGTACTCACCAGTAATGGCTGTTGAAACGAAGCAGCTCTTTTTTCTCCCTTCTCTTCGTCTGAGCTCAGATTCTGGGTCAGTTTGTATTCCAGGCAACCGTGTCACCGATTAAAGTCTGCTGCGACAAGACTTTGGTTTAGGCTCATAAGCTTGAGAAGGAGTCATTTACTTTAGTTTAATGTCAGTAGAGGTGACTCAGAGCTTGATTTCAATCTTTTGGTTTCACGATGAGATTATTTTAATTTTTGTATTTATTTGACAGGGACATTGATTGACATTTCTGTAAATGCGCCAGTTAGCCAACACGCTATTTTTCATCTGCAGTCCCTGGACAGATGTTGAAAGTCATCCTAAAAAAAAAAGTTCACTTCAAATGACAGGTAAATACAAATCAAATCAAATCAAGTTTTATTTATATAGCACATATAAACGATTTTTGGTCGAGCCAAAGTGCTGTACATAAAATAAAAATAGCCTACAGTAGAGACACTTTACAGCAAATACAACAGCACAGATTGTTCAGAATATCAGTATGAGAAAAACGACACCCTCTATCCTTAGATCCTTAGAAATACAATCAGTAAAACAACATTCAACATAGATGCTTATATTATGATAAAAGCATATATAAAAACATAAAAACTAAACTAAAATACAGATAAACATCTGTTTATACTTCAGCATTATCTTCCTCCGTTATTCTGTCCTTGTTGCTATTTTCTACAATCGAATAGATGCAAATGTTGGAGAGAGTCAATGCCACCAGAGCCTGCAGACACATTGGAAACTCAGTAATGGCTTCATGCATTAGAAGCTAAAGGATTGGGAATGGATTAATTGATTTAGCTGCTTGTGTAATGGTGGAGCTGAATAGTTTACCCGTTGGATAAACATTTGTGCAGGAATTAGATTAAATACATGGTTCATTTGAAGACATGTTTTTATTATCTTTGCACATCCGTCAGCTTGTAATAGTCCTGTGTTGTCTTATTACTGCCTGTTAAGGATGACAAAGTATACGTTTCTCTGCTGCTGGTTAGCTGTCCTTTAGTCAGAATGAGTGATCCGTGCCCTCGAGCCCCTGGCCTGAATTCAAAGTGCTTTTAAACCAGAGGGACTGCTGTGTGGCGGCTCTCTGAGAGCGAGGAGAGAGCAGCATCTTAATGAGAGGAGAGGGGAAGGCAGACATGGATGAGGCTTACAAACACACACAAAACCACCCAGTTTACAGATCTACTTTTTTCACCCAAGTTGTGCTTATGTCAGCTTCCTGTAAACTAATGAATTCTCTCTGTTAGACCACTGTTAGACAAAGTGGAACCACATTAGTCAGAATTTTCACACAGATTTGTCACCGCCACGTCTCGCAAGTTTTTGTTTTCAAAGTCTTTGAGTGGGGATGAATGGCTTATCAAGATGAAGCAGAGGTGAATGTAATGTTTATGTGGCAGGAGATGGGAGTCTCATAAACTACAATTCAAGTTCATTCAGTAGGGGTAGCTTCAGGTAGCAAAATATGGATGATGGCTATATCAATGTAATCATCAGTAAATGGCTCTATGAAACCTGATGTACTTATATGATTCTGTTTTCTTCAAGCTTGTGTCTTCTTGGTCGAATGCACTTATTGTAAGTCGCTTTGGATAAAAGCGTCAGCTAAATGAAATGTAATGTAATCTGCATAAAATAAATGATTTTCTTTATGACGAAGAAAAGCAGAGAATCCTTACATTTTATAATGAAACCAGATTATGTTGGGCATTTTGTTTGAAAAGGTGATAATAGAAAACGGTTACAGATGTTGATCAAGTATAGGATGAACCAACCAACCTTTCAAAGGATTAATATCGACTGAAACACAACTTTAAAATCTTCTCAACTTCCAACATCGTCATGTCTAGCTATGTGAGGATACTGCAGCTACAGATTTTGTCAATTCAATTTATGATTAATTATTGAATACCCCAGACACCCATATATTAAATCAACAAAGAGACCAAACAAGAGGTGCTAGCAGTTGGGAAATATGCCTTTTAATTTACTTGACAACAGCCTTAAATAGTAAAGCAATTATTCAAATAGTTGGTGATTGATAGTTGTTAAATTAAATAGAACATTAATGAATGGACTCATTTCATCTCTAATGTCTCCAACGTGGCCCAAAAGGTCATCTTCAAAACTGATTTTTTTGTTCTGGGGTTTTCACTTCAAACATTTTCACACACCACAAAATCTGCAGTGCCAAAGCCTATTATGATTTAATATGTTCTTTCCTGTGTTTACCTCAGTGATGGATTACAAAAACTGCTTTTTAAATTCTCTATGAAGTTCCATAACAGAAAACGTTGGGTGCAACAAATCATAAAGCAGGCGCTCACACAGGAAACCAAAGAGCTGCATTAAAACACTTCTACTTAAAAGTAAAAAGTGCAGGAAACAACTCGGGGAATGTAAGCAGAGACTGTGGATTCAGTCTCTTCGAACTGCATTTCCCCCACAGAGCCACTTATCAGTTAATCTCCAGTGGGAGAGTAATGCAATGATCCATGCACTGTGAAAGCGCTATTATCCACCCAGCTCCCCAAAGAGTCTCAATGCTCAGCTGGAGAGGAATGGATCGGTGTGTTGCTGCTCACAGATAATGGGCTTTAAGTCGTCACTTCAATGCAAGGCATTAGGGAACCAAAAGAGATGCGTTACAATGTCTTATGCTGCTCAAAAGGAGCTCCAACTAGGGCCGCGTTTCACCATGACATAACATCCTGTCGGAGCTTATGCTCTCATAATGCACCTAACTTTTCATTATTACTGTCTGTTTCTGTTTCACTGCATCATTTTATTCATCAGTAAATCTGCATTTTATATAGAATTTAGTTTTGTTTGGCACATCTACAATCCAAAAACAGAAAGATATTCGGCTCAATTTCCAACAACAACATGTGTTAGGGCTGCAGCTTCATTCCATCCATCTTTTCTCTCTTTTTCCCGGTTTTTTGTCTGTCTTCTTTCTGTGCCTTCTGTTTTCTCTCTCTGTAATTTTCTGACTGTTTATTATTATAACCTTTTTCTCAAATCCCCCGTGACATACTCTATGAATGTTTTGTCATTGTAGAATCAGGGGCTAAAATTGCACTTAACATTGTGATCTAACAAACGACTTTACACAGATTACTCTGCAGTTTTTACCCTCGCTGACAGCTCCGCTCCTCACCCTTTGTGCCCCTTGTTTGCATCTACAGCGTCTGCATGAAAAACAGGCTTTGACCTACAGACACTGTGTGTGTGTGTGTGTGTGTGTGTGTGTGTGTGTGTGTGTGTGTGTGTGTGTGTGTGTGTGTGTGTGTGTGTGTGTGTGTGTGTGTGTGTGTGTGTGTGTGTGTGTGTGTGTGTGTGTGTGTGTGTGTGTGTGTGTGTGTGTGTGTGTGTGTGTGTGTGTGTGTGTGTGTGTGTGTGTGTGTGTGTGTGTGTGTGTGTGTTGTGTGTGTGTGTGTGTGTGTGTGTGTGTGTGTGTGTGTGTGTGTGTGTGTGTGTGTGTGTGTGTGTGGATTAACTTGAGGTTAATATTGAAGAGTCAGCCACATGAGCTGTCACAGTTTGTTCCTGAGGCAGCATCTCCCTCAAAGCATCATGGTACTTTAACATGAGATTCATTTGCTGACCCAAGATTAACTTAAAGCTCTTACTGACTCCTAACTGATCACCCGAGTAGTAATGATTTGTTTTAACTCGTTTATTCTGACCACTAGCAGAGCTAACAGGACAGCACTAATGAGCGATGTTCTCTGCAGAAATGGAGGCTTCCCCTTCACACGTCTGGATGTTTTGATTTGTGTGTTCCCTCTGAGGCCATCAGTTACAGTTAACTATCGATGCTGTGGCATTTTACCTATGCATCTCATATTGCTGACCACTCTGCTCTTCCGACACTGATTGATCGCTCCTTTCTCCGTTATCCGTTACCTGCCCCGCGGTCTCAAAGGTGCTACAGTGTGTAACAAAAGATGGGGGTGACCATTATTCACACACAGCTCCGTCAATCCCCTCCCCCTAACACATACATCTCATTTAGGAGGTTATCGATGTGGCTCCCCTACAACAGTCAACGGTCGGGTCCCAGGGAGTCATTTACCGTTTTCTGCTATGGTGGCATTATGTGTGATCAATACTCCAGCACTGGCTATTCTAGAGCATGTATCCATACGTTCCAATACGTTTTTGACTAAAATACATCCCTTAATCTCTTTCATGTACTGCACAGTTCAATACTTATTTTAATACAGGCGCAGTGCCAGTGATATCCTTTAGAAATGTAGGCTTATATCATTTAACAGAGATGCTGATTTGTTTTGTATTTTCTTCCATAGGGGAGCAATGTGATGGAGGACCAGGACTTGAGAGAGATTGGGATCACAGACCCGAGCCACAGGAAGAAGGTCCTGCACGCGGCACGGTCATTACCTAAAGTGAGGAGTCATTGATTCTAACTTCAATACTCATCCCAGCATTGCAAAACCTGATTCATTCTCATGTGTCTGATTATCACAAGGTGCTAATCTCGCTTGAATACCAATGCAGTACCGCAGTATATTTACCCAAATACTGTCATTAGTATAATTATGAGAAACTTGCACCTACAGAACTATTGTATGTTACTCCTACTTCTACTCTCCTACATTTAAAGGAAATATTCAACTTTTTACTACTCTATATTTATATATATAATTACTGGTTAGTAAACAATGAGCTTAAACAATACCATGCATTGTTAAAGGTTCAAACCAATGGATTCTAACTTCTCTTGATTGTTATGTCTTACACAAAAACATCGTCATGTCTCCAATGTCATTTATATTGGTTGTCAAGAGTTGCTCTAAAAAGTAATTTCCCCTAAAAACGTTCTGTTATTTTAATTAATATAACCGTCTGTATTTTTAAGTCCCACATAATTGAAATTATCCAATATTTCTCTAAAGAAAGAGAATTCAAAATCTTCGTTTCCTCTTCTTTATTCTCCCACTTACATATAAATTAGATAAACTATTGTCACTTCACCTATACCAGCCACAACAATAAAATGATACCTTGATGCATCAATACTACAAAATTAATAATGAATTAAGTAAAAACACATCTTAACATACCTTACTTTTGATACTTAAAGTACATTTTAGTTGATAATAAATCTGTAATTTTACTTATTTGGACTGTAAAAGCAGGACTGTTAAATATGTTAAAAAGCACATTAGTGACTGTGTGGTTGTCCTGCAGGTGAAAGCTCTGGGCTGTGACGGCAGCGGCTCCATCTCCACCTGGCTGGAGAACATGGGTCTGCACGAGTACTTGCACAACTTCCTGACCAGCGGCTACCGCACTCTGGACTGTGTCAAAAACCTGTGGGAGCTGGAGATCGTCAATGTGAGTCACAGACTGCGAGGAGTGTCAGAGGGTGAAATTAGTTTTAGGGAAACTTCAGAGAAGGGACAAGTTGGACAGTTTACTCCAGCTTTAGTTTTGGGAGGCAAGAAACGGAAACTCTGGACGTTAATACACAGAATGTTGGTGTTAAATATTTGGGAAGAAGTTTAAAATGATCCGAAAACAAATCAGTAATATTTGAGGTAGTCCTATGAAGTATGAATACCTATTTCACTAGTTAATTCTAAGCTGTAATCAAGGATGCGTTAGTGAAAGTTATTAAAAACACATTTAGGTTTGGATTTAAGGGTTAATGTTTTTTATGACGAGTTTATTATCAGTGTCAGATGTGTCTTGGTCTTCTTCCAACTTTCATGGTCACATGATATTGTCTTTTGTCCTCTAGGTGCTAAAGATCTCCCTACTTGGTCACAGAAAACGCATCATTGCTTCGTTAGCGGAGAGGCCGTACGAGGAACCTCCAGTCAAGCCTCCCCGTTTGTCTCAGATCAGGGTAAGACCCCTCACACTGTTTTACCAACAACTTTCTAAAGGTTAAATTACAGTTTAATGGTTTAACTTCCTCCCAGACTTGGTTTGCTTTTAGTCTAGGAATCTTGCAACGCATGTGTTTTGGGAAAAATGACCATCACTGTTGATCATGGGACAACTAATGGTGTCTGAATCTGTCTCTCCAGTGCCAAGACCTGCCCGGATCCTCCTCCCCCCTCAGTCAGATGGACCCCTACACAGGACGCTCAATGGACCCTCTGCTGCCAGTAGGAGAGCCTGGGAGGAAAAAAGTGCCAGAAAGTGACTACGACGCCCAAAGATATCAGAGCGATCGACACCGATCACATGTATGTTTACGTCTTTCCCTTCAGCACTACTTTACGTCCTACAGTATCTTCATGTCGTGATAAAAGTGGGCCACTGCCAGACTTATAATTATACTTCCTTCTTCCAGGATCGGTATGATGAGCGGCTTCGAGAGCCCCGTCTGACCCTGCGGCCGCCGAGCCTGGCCACCCCGTACGCCCCGGTGCAGAACTGGCACCATCAACCTGAGAAACTCATCTTTGAGTCCTGCGCTTACGAAGCCAGTGTATGTTTATCACTCATTGTCCTTCCTATATGATGCCGTTTTTATTCAATATAGTCACCAACCTTTTCTCTCTCTCATTCTCCCTTGCAGTACCTCGGCTCCATGCTTATTAAGGAGCTACGAGGTACAGAGTCCACGCAGGATGCCTGTGCCAAAATGCGGGTAAATTACTTCTCCAAGCTCATGTGACAAACAATGCATATTTCTTTACGAGTGAGCAGTAATTCACCTTAATGTCCACTCTTTATACGTCCTTTTTTCCTCCAGAGGTCGACAGAACAAATGAGAAAAGTCCCCACCATCGTCCTGTCCATCACTTATAAGGGTGTGAAGTTCATTGATGCAGCCAATAAGGTAACTACTACATCCTATCCTGCTCAGTGCAAAACTCAATATCACAGCCGTAAATCCCTCTGCTTCTTTTCTGTGGTTTTAAATGTCATGCCTGCAAGTTTAGGTCACATTTGTTCCTGTTTGACTGGAAGCAAGTGTGCTTGTATTGACATTTATTTGACTTCAATAAAAAAAGACATTGAAAGGTTGTCTTAGAAGCAGTCTGGTTTTAATGGATATTTCTACATTTTCCTTCATATTGGGATGTTCTGTTCTGTTATATGAAGTCTTTATAGAGTGAGTCTTATGCCAACTCTCTCCTCGGTGCAGAACATCATCGCAGAACATGAGATCCGGAATATTTCATGTGCAGCCCAGGACCCTGAGGACTTGTGCACGTTTGCCTACATCACCAAGGACCTGCAAACCAACCACCACTACTGCCATGTGTTCAGCACAGTCGACGTGGTAAGGATGCTCTTATTGTCCTCTCAGCTTAATCTCACATAGTTTAAAGCGACCCCGATATCAAAAATCAATCTAGATTGTTTTGTGTGAGTTCCCTGGAGGGAAAACTACTGCTACCCTCGTAACATAAACAAGGTGAAAATAATAAAAGGAGAATTTCAAGTGTTGCAAAAACGTCCTCACTGGTGAATTTGAATTCCTCCAACATCATGCCGCAGACTTGAACTGAGGAGAAGTGACAGCTCGCATCGTCAACACTGTTATCTGGAGACTGAATGTTCTCAAGGTGTCTCGCTTCAGCTGCTGCGGATTGCCTCCTTGTAGACACAGTGCTATTCTGGCCATGATGACTGTCCCTCCTTAAAGTACTCTGTCCCCCCTGACACCAGATGATTATCCTGCTAATCTTTCCCATAATGCACCAAGGGGCTTTCCAGGCTGAAGTCAGTTAAACTAGGCTCATTTTCCTCTTCGGGGCTTAAACGAGGGGCTTTGTCTCAAGCAGTAATGCAGTCGGATAGCAGCTGCTGTGAGATGTGATTGGTTATTCTAAACTGTATTGACAGAGAGCTGCAACAATTAGACAATGTATTGATGAGTTGATCTTTGAGAGTTGATTGAAAGCTTAAGTGGCTTCTAATTTCAATGATGGAGATTTCTATCTTTACTGTGTTTTAAATCATATTAAACTAAATATCTTTGCGTTTTGGACAGACAAAACAACATTTGAAGAAATCACCTTGGAATTTAAGCAACTAGAATTTTCTCAGTATTTTCTGACATTTTATAGACCAAACAACTTTTTCATTAAGAAAATAAATAGGAAGATAATTGTTAGTTGCGTCAATTTTTGCCCATTCTGCTGCTACCATCCTCAACACATATGCCCCTTTCACACCAACGCGTTTTCAGCTCCGGCTCGGAGCTGGAGCTGAAAAGTACCGTTTTTTCCTGTTCACACCGCAGAGGCGCCGCCTCTTAGCTCCGGAATCCGGTTCACTTCCAGCTCCAAAAAATTGTCGGTCTAGAGGCAAGAGCTTCGGAGCTAAGAGGCGGCGTCGCTTACGTCGAGGCGGGGGCAGGGGCAGATTCGTCGTTGATGCTGAAGACCACAAAGAAGTCTTGCATTTCGCATGTGATGTTTGTAAAGTTCCAAGTAAAGTCGTCCCTTGTAAAGTCGTCCGATGCCTTCCATTTCGTTTCGTAAGAGGATAACCAAAGCGAACAGCGCTTCAATACAATCGGCCATTGTTGTTGTTGTCGATGTGAGGGATATCCGCGCGGTTTGGATTTTATGAAGCAGGCACGTAAACGGTGACGTCATGGCGCAGCAGCGGCAGCTCTGGTTGGTGTGAACAGAGCGGGAGCAGAAAAGGGAAACCGGAGCTGAACCAGAAAAGCTACCGCTCAGAGCTAGAAAGGGAAAAGCGCTGGTGTGAAAGCCGCAATAGAGAGGGATCACAGAGCTGAACACGCCTGTCTGGTGCAGAAGGCACGAGACAAATCAGGACATTAACTAAACAAGTTGAATAACAATATGCAGATGATTTCTTAACTCTGCGTCCTTTTTGTGTCTGTGTTCCTACCATGATTGCTTATCCAACTTTCCAATGTATGCCGTGTGAAGCTTGAATGCTCCGTCTGAAGTCTGAGGTGCTTGATCACACTTGGAAGCTGTCAGTGTTTAACAATAGTTTGCTGTTGCACAATGCTCTCGAGATTAAAGCCACTTCTCCTTGTTACAAAGACGTTTTATGCAATATGTACTTCATGCGTACTGCAAACTAAATATTGTTGTTCAAAGCCGAGAATACCTAAAAAGGCTGCCTGCTTTTCCTCTTTCTCCCTCTCTGTGTAGAATCTGACCTATGAGATCATCCTGACGCTGGGCCAGGCGTTCGAGGTGGCCTATCAGCTGGCTCTGCAGGCCCAGAGGACCAAACAGCCCCAGAGCCTCCCCGTGGGCCCCGGCTCAGAGCTCATCGAGACCAAGTCCAGCCGACCTGTACCAAAACCACGAGGCAGCGTACGGAAGTCAGGGGTAAGTGGACCTCGAACATAAATATAGCACAAGACACCATATAAACATTTTACGAGATAGTTTATTGGACATGATTAAATAGAGCAACTCATTTAAGTTCTCCTCCTGTGGTGGAAGTATATTTGTCTGAAATGCTTTTCCTGTTCATTTGGCAGTCATTTCAGGCTCTGTGTAGCACACGTGGTGCAAATGTGGGAGGAGAGGTGAGGGGTGCAGTCATCTCAATTTTAGCTATAGGGGGTCTGCAGTATCATACTTTTGAAACTCAGCAAAATTCAATATCCAGAGAGAAAAAGAACACCTGCTGTGTTTTCTAATGATAGACTCAAGCAGCATGAGGTCAAAACTCAAGCAACACTTATTAAAGTATGAAGAACAACTTTATTGTGTACTGCAGATGTTGTTGGAGCTTTTTTTCTTCTCCGGGCAAAAGTAGGTCAAGTTGTGCCAGAAATACTTCAACTACAGCATATCCTACATAACGGACTTCTGATAATTTTTTAAGAAACATTATTCCAGGCTTTTTGAAACGAACCCTCAAAACACATTAGTAAAACATTTGTATCAGTCAACAGCTTCTCCCTTCATTATGATTACACTGTTCGGATGTCTCTCTTCCATTAGCATAAAACCATTAAGAAGTGAAGCTTGTGCTGAATATAAATTAGATAAATACACCTCAGGGAACATCACACATCTCCAGCTGCTTAATGAAGTCGACAGAATCATGTTAAGAAAGTTTACTGACTCCTGTGATTCCCTTCACCTTTGTATTTGTATAAATGCCTCGCACTCCCTCAGTGACACACCCACACCTGTAAGCCTCCCAGTTTATCTGCTTCTGTCTCGTGCTGCTCAAATCTGTCACACCCTTTTATTCTCACTTCCTGTCTGTGCTGCTTGTCTTTCCTTCTTCCTCTCCGCTCTCTTGCTGGCCGTGTTGATCTCTCCCAGGACTCTCCTCCTCTGGACAGTCGCTGCTGTTACTGTCACACCTGCACCACCCATCGCCCCTCCTTCGCCCCGCTGCACTATGCCAGCCCTGCCGCCCAGGTGCTGCCTCATCTCCACCCTCTCGCTCTTTGCTCCTCTCTCTACCTCCCTACTTTATTTCACCTTCTCGCTGCCTTTCAATCCCCCAGTATCCTCCATTTGTGTCTTTATCCCATGCTTGTCTTTGTGAATGTTTATTGCTGTTATTGTATGTCTAAGTGTAGTTCTTGAATGTTACATTTGACTCTGGCGTCCTCTAGTGGCTTTTTGCTCGTAACACATGCAGAACATTTACTGTGACAGAGAAGCCCATTCAGTTCCTCAGTGGATAGTTAATGTGCCAAAGTTATTTCAGTTCAAGTAAAGGAACTTGTATGAAAATCATTACAAATTCTATTAAATAGACCAGTGGTTCTCAAATGGGGGTACGCGGACCCCTAGGGGTACGTTGGAGTACTGCAGGGGGTACGTGAGATTTATTTTATGTTAATGAAAAAAATGTAATGCATTTAAACAAACTACTAATAGTAGATTAACTACTTTCTTCAAAAGTTTACAGTCATTCTGGATAATAAAATGGGAACAATAAACGGGGCGCTCTCTTTTCCTCTCCCTCTCCTGACAGCTCGTCAGGCTCGTGCAGCTCGCTGAACCTGTAATAAGTGACCCGACAGTAAAGAATAAATATATGTATAACTAGTTTAGCTAGTTCCAGAGTAGATGAAATAGCTAAGTGTGTTAGGTCTAACTCTTAGTGTATTTAATTTTGCTCCACTCAACGGTCCTTCACAGCGGCGGAGCTGTGATCATGCAGAGCTGCGTGTTCTCCGTCAGCAGCAGCTGCTCTGCTCTCTCTCTCTCTCGCGTCCGGTTAGACTTCACTCGCGTTTATGTCCAAATCTATCAGATCTAGCTAGTTCTAGTTAATGATATGACTGCCTGCTTATCAAAGGACCTAAACAATAAGTGTTGCTTGGCAACGGCGTGTGGCCGCAAAGTATAGCATTATGCATATGTTAATGCTGTTTAACAAGGTTGTTGTTTTAATAAATCAGCCACTGATGGTGCAGCGCTGTACTGTACCTCTTTATATAGGCATTTTTTCAAAGGGGGTACATTATTGAAAACATTTGAGAACCACTGAAATAGACTAATGAAAAAGGTTTTAGATTGACTCACAAAGCATACAAGACATAATTGACAACGGAGATGAATGCATTATATTAGAGTGTATTCAAGACAAGGGTAAATCTGCATGCATCATTGAAACTGATTTTGACGCCGTGATCTAGTCCGAATGCCACTGGCCAAACATATATTTAAGTGTTTTACTTAATTTCTGCAGCTGTTGAGATTTGGTGCATTCTCTTCGTGTCTACAGGGGGACATCGCAGAGCAGGAGGGGGATTCTCACTCCCAGGGCAGTGCCACGTGGCTCGTGGACCCCAAGGAATCCAAGCGCACTATCAGCACTAAGTACGAGACCACAATATTCTGATTGGACCCCTCTTCCTCCTGACCTCTGACCTCTGGGCCTGGTCTTACCCCTCTTCCTCCCCCTCGTTCTGTGTGCCTTTCACTTTGACTCTGCCTCTCCCTCTCTGGGCTGGACCCCTGCCCCCCCCCCGTCTCCCTCCAGCCAACACTCACCTAACACCGACACAGTCTGCGTGCTTTGCTCCTTCTGCTAATCCACCACCGCTTCTTCACTTTTCAATGATTATTACTCTTCTGCTTTATCAACCCTCCTGTAGCTCCTGTCACTCACACTTCCAGCCTGCCACTCGCCTTCACTGTAACTCCTTTCCGTTTTAACCCTGTATGCTTCCCGAACTCCTCCTGAATTTCTGCACCCGTCAACATCCCACTTTTGACTCTTGGTGATCTTCTTTTATTGGTGCTTTTCCTGCTCTACTAGGCGACGGCCGCTCTGAGGCTTTTCTCTCTGATCTTTCAACTCCTGACTTCTCCGAGTGCTGAGCAAATCTGCTTCACCACGACACAGAGTGAGCCCCTGCACACATCCTGTACCTGGAGGGACATGTTTCCCGAGGAAACTGAAACACTGGTCGTGTAATTCTATGCGTCAGTTGGACTACAGCAGAATGTTGATGTTATGGAGCTTATACAGGATTTGCTATGGGGGACATTTTCACTGTCAGCTTGAAGCCAAAGGAGGCCGAGATCCTAGCACTGTGATAAGGTCCATTCAGAGCTAATAATGGTAGCATTTTGGGGGGAAAAGGGGAACAGAATAGGGCATAAAAGCTGATAAGGACCCGCATGTAAGTGCTCCTTGTTGCTCCAGGAAATAGACAGTCCCAACTGTCTTAAGACAGGCATGCCCTGCTCTGTCCGTCAATCAGAGCTCCAGGTTTGAAACCCGATGCTTCTGGAGAGGACTTACTATGACTAAGCACTTGTGCCAAATCTACAAGTGTGTAAGAACAAGTTCAACTTCTCCGTCTCGTCTTTTTTTTCTTTCTTCTTTTCACGACTAATGCCTTCTATGCTCATCCTGTCAGCATTGCCTTTGTTTTGCCAATCACTACCTGGTTAATATTTCACGCCTGCTTGTGAAAAGAGTTAATCATTATATGGGAGGGGGGGTAATCCATCATCTACACGCTGTTTATTTTTCCTTTATTTAACCTCATTGCTTTGTGTTCGTGTTTCCTCTTCCTTATAGCTGAACACTGTGGCCACTCCCAGCCAATAAGAAAGGACAGGCATGAGCCCTGTTGCATTGTGGGTAGGATGTTTTGGTGGAAAAATGACCCACTCCCCATGCGGCAGAATCACATCACCACTTGGAATCGAGCTCAGCACTGTAACACACGGCCTGGAGACACAGACGTAAACACTGCAGATCAGCTGACATCCCCGACTTCATCACACACACACACACACACACACACACACACACACACACACACACACACACACACACACACACACACACACACACACACACACACACACACACACACACACACACACACACACACACACACACACACACACACACACACACACACACACACACACACACACACACACCATTTATCTTAATCGGAAAGTGATGGAGTCAGATGTTAGTGTTGCTTTTGCATTACCTGAGATTAATTGAGGGTTGATGTTCTCTCTTTGAGGAAATGTACCTGCTGCAATGTCACAATGCAGAACTGGTAGTAAAAGGGGAAGTGGCGGAGATCGGGAACATTGTCCTGTGTTATGAAACAAAGGTACGAACTACCAGACAGACTCCTCACTCTGACGGTACACAGTCCTTCCTGGGTCATTTGTCCACACATTGTAGCGTCTTTTTATGACTGTCATCCACACATACATGTATAACTGTGATAAACAATGTAATCTTGCACGGGAGGAACTCTAACCAAACTCAAAAGGCAGAGGAACTGACACTACAACGACTGTTTTATAATAATAATAATATAACGGGGGTGGCTTTTATATGATTTGAACGTTTTTCTGTATGTTTTAATTGTTTTAGAGGACAATAATATGTCCTAATGCTGGAACTGGATCGGCTGTGGTTCACTGCTGCTCCCTCTCTCCTTCCCTGCTCCTTTGTTCAGTTAATCCAGACAAGATTAATCACCAAACCTGCCATGCAGCCTGGTATGTCTTCAGTTTTAAGATGCAGAAAAGAACAATAGGGCACAGCATGTTTCTCCTAGCTCTCTCCCAGTGTGTTGACTGTTAATGCTACTTTTTGTTCAGCAGATAAATATATGGGTACATGGTCTGGTCCTTTTTGATTTAACTGTTGTATATGTGGTACGTTGTCAGGCCAGTACGATAACTCTATGGTACTCTACTGTCTTCAGCTCGCTGGTGTCGGCACCTTCGGCCATCAGCCTGGTCCCGTTCTGCTTTTGCACATTGTTTAGGGATCAGGAGAGATATTTCGGGACTAATCTGATGACAACAATGCTGAGAATGATATTGTAAATGAGTTCTAGCGGTCTGTATTTTGATACTTGAATGATTTTTGCTTTTATAGATATCTATATATATGTATATGTATGTATGTAATTTTTGACGTTTGTCAAAAGAGAGAAAAGGACTATGTCTTATAAAGTTAAACATATCGTGAATAAATACCCTGTGATTTAAGAAAAAAAAAAGGCTGAGAAAACAAAGACTCAGAAGAGGGACCTCACTTCAGAAAAAAAAGATTGTAAATAATCTCGGGCTTCCAGTCTTTTTTATGATTATTTTTCATAATTGTACAACTAATAAATGGCGAAATTAGAAAAAGCTGACTTCTGAATCTTTATTTGCCCAATTACTGATCTTGTGTTATGTTACCATGGAATGTTTTGTATTATTGTTTTTATTTTTGGTCGAATTTTGTGCCCGATTTTGAACACCTCTAGTTCTTCTGCCTTTCTGATTGTTTGGGTTGTTGTTTTACTAGTTTAGCTTAATTAATATTTATTTAGTACATTTTTTTAATTGCCCACAGGTTGTGTATTGACATTATTATTTTTGTATCCTTCTGTTGCCTAAATTCCCATCTGAAATTACTTTAGCGACAATTTTAAAGGCCAACTTCTGTTATTTTGTCTAAACTCATTCACCTAGAAAATTTAAACTAGATTTGTAACTGTATGAATACGGGAAATAAATCAGTCTGCTGCATACAGTTAACCAAATAGTTAAATAAATCATGTTATGTTATCTAATTTCACTTTTTTTTGTTCAATATTCAGTAGTTATTCATTACTGGGGCTGATGGCCAAAACACTATACTCTCTGACTCTGAAACAGGAAGATGTTATTTTATCGAAAAACTGGAAAGACGTTCCTTATTATCTATAAAAGTGTTAATCTTCAGGTTACAAATTACACTGCATAGAAGTCAAATGGCATTAAACCTTTCTAACAACTGCAGCCTGTGTCAAACAGCCACACGTCTCAGAACCCTAAGCTGCATTATTTATTAAAATGTTATGACTGCTGGTATGGAAAACATTTGTGTTATGTTGCCTCGTTGGCCAACACAAAAACATCAACAGAACAGATGATAGTTCCTCTGGCAGATATAAACATGGATTTACACATCTGCTCATTTTCATAGATATGCGACAGACGTCACAGATGTAAGCTGCTGTTCCTGGAAAACAGATCGGCTCGCTGCGTGCTGATTGTGCAGCTGATATCTGCAGACAGGCCTGCTTTGTTCACAAACACAAGACTTCACAGCGTGCACCCTGTAAACAAAGAGAACAACTGGGGAACCAGCAAGAGGGATTTACATTTTTAGGATACAAAAGAATAAACGGGACATAATTTCATTGTGCAACTTTCCATTAGGGAATGGATTTAGAAATAGTCACTTTATTAACTATAAGATGTATAGATGTGTTATTACAAGGCATTAATACGATTATATTAGATCAAATTATTATGAAGAATCCAATAGTAATCTAATGATTATGTTAAATGTTGTTACTAAAGTGTCATCCATCCACAAAGCAATCGTAAATGTTCAGGTTCTTGACCAATAACAACATATTAAAAAGACAAAACAAATGCTGATTTGGACAGTCAAGGGCCTAGTTTGTGTATTTGGTTTATGTAACTGTCAACAAGATGTGTTTTCCTTCAAAGATAAAATAACGCTTTGATAAATGCAACTTGTGACAAAATACTGCTCAAAGTGTGGCTCATATAGCTCAAAGCATATCTTTGTCTCAGTACAGACAATTTCACTGATCTGTTCTTGTTGAATTGATAAGGTCACAACAAGTTCACTTTTCAAAATGCAAACAAAAACAAAAAGCTTTTTGTCAAGTTAAATAAAAATGTAAACACGTTATACATAGCATTGGGCTCGTATTTTTATGACTTTCATATTTAGTATAAAATGTTTCGATTTATGCTTTGGAGAATTAAAATACTTTCCATTGGCTGCTGCTATTCCATTGGCTCTTCCTCGATCAGACGCTCGCTGATTGGCCGCCCACACCAACCTGTCCGGAAGCTAATTGGCTCACCTGCTGCAGGTTTCTCCACCTGTTCGGTCTTCTCTTCGTGTAGTTCTACTTCCAAGAACAGTGCAGCTGTCAGAGGGGACTGAGGTGCACCGACATGGACTAAACACAGCTCGTTTCTTTGTATACACACAGCTGTACGGGTCTACATCTGTTCTATTTACATCGTTGGTGAGTAATCAAGAAATCCCTATGTTTGAAGTGAGTGCGATCTTTGGTTCTGCTTTATTCATGCATACGACAGCGTTATGAGGAAAGAATACTTAACATATTTTTTTTGAAAACGTGCTTTTACAAAAATATAATCAACCTTAAAGCATGGTATGAGTGTGCAATTCGTTTAGACCCCTAGTTATAGTATTTTATAAAGCTTTGACTAGATTATTTACTGTATTTGAGGAGGTTTCAGGACTCTTTGCACACATAGGCTCATCATCTGTCAGAGGGCAGTTTGGGTTGGAGGGAAGTTGAGGGTGATGAAGAAATATTCCCACTATAAATACATAGTACATTGCTAATCCCTTTCATGCTCTTAAGAACCTATACCTCCTTTCAAAGATTGATCATTAATGTGGCATCATTGAATATAAGTTGGCTTAGTGGTTATAGGTTGAGTCAAAGTGCAAATATTTGAAGATAAATGTCAATAACACAGAATTCAGTGGAACATGTGCCAAGCTAAACATTAATGAAGAAACTCGAGCAGGTAGAGAGTTACACAACCTGCTGATGTTCACCATGAACTTGTGTTTACTGACAATCATTAAACCAGCTCCCTGGCTGCCCTTGAACACATACTTCACATTTTTGGATCCTTTAAAGCCTTTTTTTTGTACAATTACTATAATGTATACTCATAAAGTGTAGATAATGATTCCTTGGATTGTAATTAAGCCTGGGAAGCTGAAACTGTTCTCACAGTTAACATTTAAAATACCTGTAGCTGATCCTTCCCCTTTTATAGTTTATAGTTTTGTTATATGCTGAGTTATAATTCAAGTGGAACACCCAGTAACATCAGAGCAGTTTAATTTAAAGTAGGAGCAAGCAAGGTGACATTCATTTCACTATTAGATCCTGACTCAGCTGTGGGTGCAGTGAGCTATGGTTTGTTGTTCAGGTATAAGGTGTTGGCTGCTCTGCCTCGGACACTTGTTCCCTCGCTCTGCTGATCTGAATGAGCTGATGGGAGGACCGATAATTGGCTCCTATTTAAGAGGCCACTTCATGCTTCGTCAGCCAGCCTTTGTTGCCAGAAAACACGAGTTAGTTATGTGGGTGTTGGTGATCAGGTTTTAACCCAACTGTCCTTTGCTATGTCTTCATGTCAACAAGATATTGCTCATCAGCTTCCTACCAGGCTTTCCCAATATCTATTTTTTACCAAGTAACTTTCTTGTAACTTGTGCCTTAAAACTTGTATTGTTATGATCCAGTTTCTAAATCAGTTTGTTAATATTAGTTCAAGTATTTTCTCAAGCTTACTTTTATTTGTCATCCTATAGTGAAGCATCCTGCATTACATTTTGTAATCCTTCATTTGTCAGAGAAAAGTCATATCTGTTGTACTGTCTCTCTATAAATGCGCTCTTGTGCTCAGGGATTAATCAAAACGTAAAAATATGTTATTAAAATGAGACCATAATACAAATTAATCAATTCTACCCTGTATACATTTTCTCTCTATGGAATATCCATAGTTCAAACAAAGTCAGGGTCAAAGGGGAATTGTATCTTTTTAGAAAACACAAATATTTGAGTCCAAATCCGAGTGATTCAAGTGTTTTAATCATTAACCATTTTCTGTTACATTTTCTATATAATTTAATTTTACTTAAGCCTCTTTTAAAGTCCTATCGTCATACCATAGATAACATATTCATTTTAAAACTGAAATGCAAAGTACTGAAGATAAATACTGAGGATTCACTATTCTCGCTGTAGCACTGAAGTGATCTCAGTCATTAATCAATAATCTTTTTTAGGCTGCTGTCATAAAATGCCGTCAGTTACAAGAAACATCCCAGAAGCTAGGGCTGCTCGATTATGGCAAAAATCATAATCTCGATTATTTAGGTCAATAATTGATATCACGATTATTAAAAACGATTATCCATTTACTTTGAAAACATCCATTTATTGAAAAAAAACATTTGAACAGTATGTTTTGAACAGTTGATTACCCTGAACTTTAAGTATAATTCAACTGAGAAACCAAAAAAAAAAAAAAATTAAAATAAATAATCGTTTTATTTCGAATTATGTTGTTTACATAATCGTTGCAAGCTAAAATCGTAATTGCGATTTAAAATGCGATTAATTGAGCAGCCCTACCTGAAGCTGCTCCTATTTTCCTTGAAGCATTACTTGCATCACAAATTATTTAAATTTGGCAGAGCAGACATATTGTTTATGAGTAAGGTGCGTTAATGGAAACTCATGCCACATCATAAAACTATGATAACTGTCAGCCTTCATGCAGTGTCATGCTAAGTGACCTTTATGCCGTTCTTTTGACTAAAACCAACATTGACTCATAACGGTCAACGCTTAATTTCCTTACTCTTATTCGTTCAATCAAATGTTCTCTGAGATAAGAGAACAATGCAGTTGGCTTTGCTCTGTTTCCACGAACACACCTGAACCTGATTGTGCAGCTACGTGGTGAGTAAGCCATATAACAGGTTGTTAAGCCTTTGTCACTATTATACATCTGTGTGACCCATCACCATAGACACAAATCCACTGAAGAGCCATAACCCAAGTGAAACAAATATTATCCCTTTGTGAGTCAATCATGATACATTGTTGGTTGTAAGTGCTTCCCAAACTTGCTAGTGCACGTTAAGCCCTTCTAATGGAAAGTGAAGAACTTTGCTTCATGTGGCCTCTTCTTTATTGTCTTATTAATTCATTTACTCCCCTATTTGTTTCTAAATATGCCCTCTATTATTGAGGCTTTGGAAAATCCTTGTCCTAGTATTGTACTGTATAAGTAGATGTAATAATCGCTCTACTTATTTTGGCTGGCACTCTCCTCATTCCTGAGCTGTCAACTGTCTACTCAGATTGTACATGATGTGAAGCACGTCATGCTCATGCACGATGTCTCGCTTCATGGCTGAATCATAGTGACTGGAATCCTTATTAACAAACCACTTAAAGCATCGCTGCATAACCTGAGAGCTAAAATGCCGACATTCTTCTTTGTACTATCTGTCGCTGCAATCATTTCGCAAACAATTCTCACTACAGATGTTAATATAATAAACCATTACAAGTCTTTGTTCACTTTTGAAATCACTTTAGTCTGTTTACCATCCCTCCACTATAGCTCAATACTGAATCACAAGGGAACCTTGTACCAGAAGTCGAAGACTTTAGAAAGTATCTGGACAGACAGTTGAAGCATCACATGAGCTTCAGAAACGTTTTGAAATCCCTTTTTGCAGAAACGAGGACTGTGGATGTCTCCCGTCACTTACATTGAAAGCTCATTAGGAAATCTTCTTTTACTGGCCCGTCTGAACATGAACGATAACGGCAATAAAACAAGCTTTATTGCCAATATGATTACCAGACCATTATCCAAAGACAGACGGGAAAAATTGAGAGCCCATCCTAAAAGAACAATAATGTCTAATTTATCAAAAATAAATGATAACTAGTTTATTCATTCATTTAAATAATGACACAATTGCACATAGCTAGTTATGTTTAATATATCTCAGTGACAGTGAGAGCACATTTAACATCTTAACTACAAGAGCCATTACATTATGAGGATAATGTAGCTATCAGTTGTAATTTGTGGCCTTCATTTATCACGCTAATGGAAAAAATGTACATTAATAGTTGTTGCTTGGATGTTTGCAAACCAATTTTGTGAATGATTAAAGCTTTATCTCATGTTACCGGCTGTAGGATGTCAGTATTCGTATTTGAATAATTGTAAAGAAGAGACAGCGGTAACACACATTTCATCATTTTGTCCCATTCTTAAATGTTCTCCTTTACTTTTCAGGTTCTACCTCAGCCTGAGTCTCTGTGAAAGTTACCGGTCACAAGGGGACTGTGAGGCCCAGGTCCCGCCCTCGTCCTCTTCCTCATGCCATGCCGAAGAGCGACACTTGGCCAGGCGGTGTTGCCATGGAACCCATGGAGTAATTTGGACAGTGCTGGGAGCCTCGACAGTGTAATCAGCATGAACTCTGGCTATGTGAGTGCTGCAGTACATCTCATCCCAGCCTTCTGTCCCAATGACCCTGTCTCTTATCTGCTCTTTGTGTAACACATGGACACACTTTACTGCGACACGTCTCCTCTCGTCCATCTGAATAAACATTACATTTATACACGCTTCTGCAATTTATTGGAGTGGTGAAATAAGGAACTGGGACTTTTTTCAATTAATTTGTTCAAACAGTTTAAAAATACAAGTACAATCATCAGACATAATGGAAAAATGTGGCGCAGTACACCCAGAAAAAGCTGTACAAAACTTGAGAGTCGGGTGCCAAGACATTAAAGTGCCCTATTGTGCTTATTTTATGGTTGATATTTGTATTGTGTGCCTCTACTGTGACATGTTTACATGCCTTAATGGTCATTACGTGTCTTTAATTATCTCATACTGCCTGCTGCAGCACTTCTTTTCACCCTCTTTCTGAAACCAGAGCCCAGACTGCTCTGATTGATTAGCTGGCCAGCTCTGTTATGATTTGTCAACTGCTTAGAGGTGTCTATGTATATATATATATAATATTAATAGAATTGGAGAGAGTTAAAGGTGGGGTAGGTAATTTTGGAGAAACCGGCTCGAGTGCGCTAGAATTTGAAAATACACAACCGGAACAAATCTGCCACTTCCTTACAGAGCCCCTCCTCCAACACACACGGACGCACACATGACCAATGAGGGCACGAGATCAGTTTGTGCCCCGATGGGAGGCTGACAGGCAGGTAGGCCATCCAGTTATTTTAGCCGGGCCGGCTCAAATGATTGGTCGTGCTTTGTACAGTACCACGGCTTCCACAGATGACGTTTTTTTATGGATTTTTTGTCAAAGCACTTCAGATATTCATTGCTATCGGGATGTTAAGAGCATTCCATGGAATATAACTAAAAGCGTATCTCGAGCCGGTTTCTCAAACTTACCTACCCCACCTTTTAATGTATTACACAGCAACATTACATTGTGCATCAGGCTCTAATAACTTCTGGATGGTTTATTACAGTATCTATGAGAAGGTCAAATAAGAGGAAGTTAATGTGTTGGAGGTGATGTACACTCATGTTGGTTCAGGCAGGGTGTCAGTGAGAGCTTCTCTATAGATAACTAGAGGGGAGTTTTTTTTAATGCCGTTCACAAGCACCTACTGTCACCTGAAATGAATTCCCCTGACAGGCCAATATAAAATAAAAGATGGCCAAGTATAGAACAGGACAAAAGTGGTGCAATTAGTCATCCCTTTGCAGCAGCTTGACCACTAAACCACTTTGACCTTTTGTCCCTGTACTGTCTCTCATGGCGGTGGTAAGGGTTGAAGGGAGGACAGAGATTGCTGAAGATTTGAGAAACTGCTCCGGGTTTAAATGCATTTATTTTGTCTGCAGAGTGAAGACAGTATGGAGCATTTAACAGCAGAAGAAAGAGCGTGTATCATGTATCTGGAGGAAACAATTGAAGCGTTGGAGGTCCAGGAGGACAGCGGCTTTTCAAACGATGAACCAGAAGCTGGATTACAGGCAGATAATACAAGTCACATGAGAGTAAATGGTATGTTCATATCAAGAAAAAAACAATATTTGGACAAAATGCTAATTGAAAGCTAATGAACTTGCTGATTTTGTAATTATATTTTTGTATCTTGATGGTTGATTACACTCTAAGTTGCTTTGGATAAAAGCATCAGCTAAATGAAATATAATGTGAACACTAAATTACAATCAATAACTGCAGTATGTGTCTGTTTCTTACTTAGACATTTCCAGTTTCAACACTGATGAGTTTGGAGGAGCTTTAACCAACGGAGACAAAGCGGGGCATCACATTTTACAAACTCCAGAACCAGCGTCCTCTCCTGCATTCGACAGGAAAGATCTGAACACATCCATGAACCTCATGACTCAACTCAACCCTCCAGACACAGAATCAGTTACTGATAGCAACATTCACAGTGAGTTGTGCATATCCACGGATGAGGATGGTACACTAAAGATTGTCCCAGGTGACAGTCTTTCCCCCGGTCCGTCCACTGGGGCCCCTGAGACAGATGCGGGTGTGATCCCTCCTCCCTCAGCCTTCATGGATGAGCCCTTTAAGCCTCCACAGCCACAGAAAGTGAACTACCTTCCTCCACCTGCAGGAATACACAACCACCAGCCAGGAGGAACTGTTGACTTGGAGGAGCTAGGTCGAAGAGCCACTGAGAAGAGGTCTTCACAGAGGTCGCCTGTGAACAAGGAGCCTCCAAACAAGGAGCCTCCAAACAGTCCTCCAGAGCTGAGTCTACCAGCCGTCAGCTCGGGTCCCCCGTTAAGTCTTCCCCCGTTAAGTCTTCCCCCGTTAAGTCCTTCCCTGTTAAGTCTTCCCCCGTTAAGTCCTCCCCTGTTAAGTCTTCCCCCATTAAGTCCTCCCCCTGAGGCCGCTGAGCCCAGAAGTCCCCCTGCTGTGGCCCCTAGGCCCAAGAAGCTTCCTTCCAACATTATTCTCAAATCACACAAAACTGGCTATGACGGCAGCTCTGGAGCTTCGGTGTCCACTAACAGTGACCGGCATTTGTCCGACCCCCAGAAGGTCCGCATTGAGGCCCTACGGAAGCTCGGCCTGCTGCCTGCTGAGGCAGATTCAGGCCCTGCCCTGAGTCCTTTACTTTCTCCCAGAACCAGAAAGTCATGGGCAGCTCCTCCTTCTCCAATCATCTCAACAGCTCCAAATACACCACCCTTGACTCCATCTTACATCCGAGTCCACAGCCCACTTCCTGCCTCCGCTCCTCTCCAGTCTCCTGCAGCTGAGCCGACAGCAGCTCCTTCTACAGCTGCTGAGGTCCTCCTAGTGCCTGATGCTTTCAGCGATTCACTCGAGCCTCCTCCGTCGGATAATATACTCTCTGCTGTCAACACGCCCCCTCGTACCCCTCCTGCCCTGGTAAAGCATCTAACCCCACCAAAAGCCTTCAAGTCCGCCTCCCTGGAGCGTTCTTTACCTGGCCTAAGCAGCTATATGGCGAGCCAAGAATCCAACAAGGCGGGAGGGGATCAGAGGAGCCCCAGTCAGCTACGTAACAATCGTCCTCGTCCCGCCTCTCTGGGGAGTGGGAAAGAGTTCATTGCTGCTCAGGGAAATGGTTTGCATCCAGGCCGTGTCATCAGCAAAGAGCCGGACTTACAGAGGTCCCTGCAGGCCCACAATGCCTTTCAGCACACCGGAAGCTCTCAGAAGCTTCCTCGATCGCAAGGCATCAGCGTGCTGATCTGCCCGAGGTCAGAAAACGAAGAAGACCGCCGTGACGCTCTGAAGAAGCTGGGGCTGATCAGGGACTGAGGCATCCATTTTCACACTTACTTACTAACTGCCATGGTATCCCTCAGATCATATATTTAAAGGAACATACCAGAGATTCATACATGATTGATGATCTTAGCCACATAGTTATGCTCTTTCATTTTTACTTCATCATGCACGAGACTGACTCGCATGTCTTGCATTCATTGGCCGCACCTACTATTATTGGACAGCCTTATGTACAGTATTTTATTTCTCATAAAACTGCCAATCAAGACCTTTTTTAATACACAATGACTTACTGTAGCTGTGGTTTTGTAAATTAAAAATACTGTTCATTTTAAAAAGGGATTGAGTAATCTGTGATTTTAATATGTTTCTTGTAATCTACATGTATAAACGTACGTCTGTCACATGTTGTTCTTTACAGTGACACCACTGTTAGAGGTTAGTTCCTCTCTTTGTTCTCCTTTTAGATACTCTCGAAGGTCACCTTTCTTCACTTTCACTTCCTAAAATTCTTCAGATTTTTGCTTTGTTGACGACAGGAGCTAGCTAATTAGCTAATAGCTAATAGCTAATATTTAGGTGTTTGTGTGTTTAACATGAGCTGCATTGACCCTGTATGGCTCAGTGCAGCGTGTCAAAGCAAAGGAAAATACCTTGGCGTAACTCAAAGCACGTAATAGGCCGGCGGCCACTAGGTGATAAGAATTTGAAACACGCCGTTTTTGTGGTTGCTTAGTGACACACATGGAAAAACGTATGAGCTTGTTACACAGCGGATTTATGTGGTGTCAAATGTTGACCCCAAAACTTTTATTAGGTGCACATGTTATATATTTTTTTAACATACACTGTCCTTTCATTGCCTTCAAGTCACAAATGTACTTAATTTACATTTCTAATATATCATTTTCCTCTGGTGGCACGTAAAGAATTGGCCCTCATAAGTCATGTGAAATCTCAAACAGACTCTGGCGCAGCTTTATCTGATAGAGAGAGAACTGGTACAACCTGTTTTCCGCCTCCAAGTTTAGACTTATGCAACACCTTTGCTGCTCTTGGTGGCACATTTACAAGCAGGCAGTACGTCTGGAAATAATTGTATCGCTGCTGCAGGCTTTCAGAGATAAATAGATTTGCTCTATTCTCTAACACGGTGTTAAGGTCACCTACTGCTGTGAAAATTAAGCTCAATTTAAAAGTCAACTCTGAATAGGTATTTACATCATGAGACAACTGCACTATGGAGTTTGTAGAGAAACCGGCAAAAGTGTTTGAATCAACACATTTTGTCCATTATAGGACCAGAATATTGACCTTTCGGACAATGTTGAAGGCCTGCCACATCGACATGATACCAGTATTTTGCCAGTGCAGCAGTGAAGCATTCTTATATTTCTAGTTGGTGCCATTCAAGCTACACTTACACTTAGGTGTGGTGTCTCCAAGTGCCAAGTGCACAGTCTTTGTTGTCTTAACCACACCCTGGATTTCTTCCCAACATGTATTTTATTACGTATTTAAGTTTGTATAATCTACAAACAGAATATTTTCATAAATGTATCTGTTTATTTTTTGTTTATACCATTTTGCTAAGGAAGATAATACCTGAACTTCCAGAGGAAACTTTTAACAAGAGCCACGTGAAAAGGGATTTGAATACTGTTTTCAATATTTTCAAATGAGCATATTTTTGCAATAAAGATGAATGAAACACTATAAGACACCTTAAACTAGAATAATAATTTGTGTGTATGATTTGTATTTGTTTAAGTTAGTAAGGATCTCTTTCACTGTAAAGAGGAAGCAGTTGCGTGCTATCGAACCAACACAGGCTGCTTTGTGCTGCTGCTCTGAGGCCTGTGAGCTATCTTCACTTTCCACCTGCGCTCTGTTGTCCTGCTGCCAGCAGACCTGACTGACAAGGACTCAGTGGAAGTTCCTGTCACTTTCACTGTTAACCTCATTGACTCATAGATCAGCTGTTTTGAATAACATACCAGATATCACTTTGCATACCAACGTGTAAAAAAATTGGGATCTGATATTAGGGAATAAAGTTACTCATAAGCCTTAAATACACACGATGCAGAAGTGATATATTATAGCCAGGGTTGGGTAGAATTGGATTACATGTTATCAGGATTAAATAGTAAGATTACAAAAGAAATAAGTAACTTTAATCAACCTGAATGCCATTAATAAAAATGTGCATGCAGATCATGGTGACAATGCCAAGGATTATTTGATGGCATTTTAGGAAGTGTCTAACAGAAATGTTCTCCATGTAGTCGTCGGGAAAAAATGACACATACAAAACAGCATCCCACATGTTGTAGAATACACACAATAGGCCTAACCCTTAAATGTGTACAATGTGTTTTGGTAAGTAACTGTAAATTCTGCTAAATGTGCAAAATGCTTTTTATTTCTATTGTAATATGTTTGGAGGTAATTATAAAGAAAATAAGTTGTTTTGGTATGAGGTAAATCTGTATTAAGTGCAATATTAGATTTTTTCAAATGTTCAGTTTAAAAAAAAAAGAAATTCTTGAAATCCAATTAGGTACATTACTCACAAACTGACTGCATTGTAAAGTAATCTGACCCAACCCTGATTATATCAAACAACCTGCTAACAACTGGTTGATTAAGTAGAGTAGAACTTTTTTGTTTGAATGCCTTTTACAAATAGCATTGGCTACGTGTTAATGTTTCTAACCCCTCAGTGAGAGCTGCTGGATTTATTATTCCAGGTCGTCACACGGGGGCCGCAGAGGGAAATACCACCATGAGGTGAGAGGGACAGGTGCGTGCTGCTGCTCTATCGAACTCTTTCCCCTGTCAATATGTGCCCTAACCTTCACCATAACCTTAACCAATTATTTATTCTACTTCCATCGATAATCTAATCTGAACCCTAACCGGGTTAAGGAGACGCTACCTGAAGGAGAATGTCACTGCAACACACGTGTTGGTTCAAAACAGGAAGTTACTTGTAGTAGTTTGGCCCACTAAATTGGCCTGCTGATAAACACGAGCAGCTGTGGGATAAAAAGCAATGGATGTGAAACACAGCTCATGGATTGCATATAAGGTATATATTCAGTTTCATACAATAAGTAATTACAGTTATTACAGTGATATAAGTTATTACTGTATTACAGTGATAGTTGTTAGAACAACAATGGATGCATTTAAACAAGAAACAGCTAATTGTCACTTCGGCATGTATGCTATACTGCCAATTTCCTCAAAAATGTAAACAAATGCGTATGTAAATAATTGGGCTCAAGTTGTTGACCATTGCCAATACACTGAATGCAACTGCGGTCAAGCCAGCCTCCACTTGGGAAAACACAGTCAAGCCAGCCCGCACGTGATATTGGGGTGCGTGAATATTAGAAGCATTACGGTAAAATCCCAGCGCTTACTCGGTCAATAACAAAAGCACCTATAAAAACAAACCAAACATATTAAATTAAGAAATATGTACTATATAATGTGATCAATAATTATTTAAAACAAACTACGTATAACTACCACGAGTAAATGTAAAATGTAAGGAGTTTCAAAATAAAAGTCCTTTGAAATCTCATATTGAAATCTCATATATGAGCTATCAGCCCTGTGTTTAGATAAGAATAAAACGAAATCTCTCCCTGATCCAAGACTCATCTCACTGCAGGGTGATAGAAGGACACCCCATCTACTCACCCAGAAAAAATCAGGACATTCTGATGTGGAGTTTCAAAATAAAAGACCTTTGAAATCCCATATATGAGCTATCAGCCCCGTGTTTAGATAAGAATAAAACGAAATCTCTCCCTGATCCAAGACTCATCTCACTGCAGGGTGATAGAAGGACACCCCATCTACTCACCCAGAAAAAATCAGGACATTCTGATGTGGAGTTTCAAAATAAAATACCTTTGAAATCCCATATATGAGCTATCAGCCCCGTGTTTAGATAAGAATAAAACAAAATCTCTCCCTGATCCAAGACTCATCTCACTGCAGGGTGATAGAAGGACACCCCATCTACTCACCCAGAAAAAATCAGGACATTCTGATGTGGAGTTTCAAAATAAAAGACCTTTGAAATCCCATATATGAGCTATCAGCCCCGTGTTTAGATAAGAATACAACGAAATCTCTCCCTGATCCAAGACTCATCTCACTGCAGGGTGATAGAAGGACACCCCATCTACTCACCCAGAAAAAATCAGGACATTCTGATGTGGAGTTTCAAAATAAAAGACCTTTGAAATCCCATATATGAGCTATCAGCCCCGTGTTTAGATAAGAATACAACGAAATCTCTCCCTGATCCAAGACTCATCTCACTGCAGGGTGATAGAAGGACACCCCATCTACTCACCCAGAAAAAATCAGGACATTCTGATGTGGAGTTTCAAAATAAAAGACCTTTGAAATCCCATATATGAGCTATCAGCCCCGTGTTTAGATAAGAATACAACGAAATCTCTCCCTGATCCAAGACTCATCTCACTGCAGGGTGATAGAAGGACACCCCATCTACTCACCCAGAAAAAATCAGGACATTCTGATGTTGAGTTTCAAAATGGATGGATGGATGGATGGATGGATGGATGGATACTTTATTCATCCCAAGTTGGGAAATTGGGTTGTCACAGCAGCATGGACTCATTGTACAGAATCAAAATAATCTTTAAATAGAAGAAAACAAAGAAATAGAATAAATCTGAGCTTCTATAGGCTAAGACTGTCGGGGGACGCATTGCTTCTTCCTTCTTTCTTTGTGTCTATATCTACGCCGGGATCCTGAGTCGAGGCTGATCCTATTGCTGTGGTCCTGTGTCCTGGATCCTCTATCCTGAGTTCTGGATTGAGCCCTGGACTGAGCCCTGGACTTCGAGTCGTGGCTGAACCTGTCTCTGCGGACCTGCCTGACTCTCATCATACTACTTCCCTGATGGCTCCCACAGGATTGTCGACATCCTTGTGGATTCATCTTCTTATTATAGACACCTACGCTGTAAATGTATTATCTCTTCAATTTAAACACGGCATCTATTGCACGTCTGTCCGTCCTGGGAGAGGGATCCCTCCTCTGTTGCTCTCCCTGAGGTTTCTCCCATGTTCCCCTTTAAACTGTGAGGTTTTTCTCTGGAAGTTTTTCCTTGTATGTGATGGTCTAAGGACAAAGGGTGTCTTTTTCTCATACTGACATTCTGTATAAACTGTGCTGTTGTATTTTTTGTTGAGTGTCTTTATTCTAAAGTATTTTTACTGTATGTACAGCTCTTTGGCTCGACCAAAAATCCTTTTAAAAATGTGCTATATAAATAGAACTTGAATTTATTTTATTTTATTTGAACAAATATAGAGTAAAATAGAAGAGAAATAAAGGTTAAAGCAATAGTATCCATATTCACTGTACAATTTAAGTATCTACATCTAATTGCACACTATAGAACAGACAAGAATACATTTGAAATTCTCAAAATTATGCACTGCATGCACGATGTAAGTATGTAGCAGATGGATCAAACTAAGTTTGGTGCTGGGAGTTATCTGCTCTGCCAGGGATGAAGAGTTGTAGAGGGTTATTGCTTCAGAAATGTTTTTCTTTTTATAGTTATGTACACATGACAAATAAATAAAGCCTTTGAATTTTTGAAAAAAGTGGGTGTGGAGTCTCTCCAGTTCCTAGAATGCACTATCTTCCATGAGCTGAAACTAACATAAAATTAATATTAATGGATGCCAAGCATAGACTGTTTTTCCTAAGCCACTCCGCCTTATGTCCTATACCATTAGATAGATTTGTAGGGGCACTGACATGATATGTTCACTTCCTATTCTTAAATACACTTGCAACAAATCTATGTTTCTTTGATACAAAACACTTAAGTACAACTGTATACATCAAATGAATTGTTAAGCCTTCTTCATTGCCTATTTTGCCTTGCATTGTGCCTTTTAGATAGCTATTTTTTTTTCTTTTATTATCCTGAATTTTGAATCAATTTTGTCCTCAATATCTGCCTCCCTTGTTTTAACACTGTGTTTGGGTCCTACCTTACCTTTTTATTTTTGAAACTATATATCAGAATGTCCTGATTTTTTCTGGGTGAGTAGATGGGGTGTCCTTCTATCACCCTGCAGTGAGATGAGTCTTGGATCAGGGAGAGATTTCGTTTTATTCTTATCTAAACACAGGGCTGATAGCTCATATATGGGATTTCAAAGGTCTTTTATTTTGAAACTCCACATCAGAATGTCCTGATTTTTTCTGGGTGAGTAGATGGGGTGTCCTTCTATCACCCTGCAGTGAGATGAGTCTTGGATCAGGGAGAGATTTCGTTTTATTCTTATCTAAACACAGGGCTGATAGCTCATATATGGGATTTCAAAGGTCTTTTATTTTGAAACTCCACATCAGAATGTCCTGATTTTTTCTGGGTGAGTAGATGGGGTGTCCTTCTATCACCCTGCAGTGAGATGAGTCTTGGATCAGGGAGAGATTTCGTTTTATTCTTATCTAAACACAAGGCTGATAGCTCATATATGGGATTTCAAAGGTATTTTATTTTGAAACTCCACATCAGAATGTCCTGATTTTTTCTGGGTGAGTAGATGGGGTGTCCTTCTATCACCCTGCAGTGAGATGAGTCTTGGATCAGGGAGAGATTTCGTTTTATTCTTATCTAAACACAGGGCTGATAGCTCATATATGAG